TTTCTATTTGCCATATATATTTCAACCGTACTGTGATGTTTTACAAAAGTTCTGAACCTTTCTATTCTCATTGCTTCTACAGATTGTGAATTAAAAATAAACATTTTTGCTAAAAGTATTATTATATTATTGATTGATTGACTATGACTTTTCAGATCACCCAGTAATGCTATCTGCAAGGTTAGTTCCAGGTAAATATTGCAATCCTTTAGCCATTCCTGGACCTGTGTCCAAAAACAAGCTACAAATGGACAGAACCAAAACAAATGATCTAATGATTCTATCTCTTCACAGCAAAATCTGCAGAGCTGGGAAGATTGTATCCCCCATATAAATAACATTCTATTGGTAGCAAGAATTTTATATAAAAATTTAAATTGAAAGATTCTAATTTTTGAATCCGGTGTCGTTTTGCGTGTCAGTTCATAAACACTATGCCATGGGATCGGTACGTCAAAGATCTCTTCCCAACTATTTTGCAATCTATATGGGACGGCTGTCAATCCTTTGGTCCTTAAGTGAAACTGATATACTTTTTTATTTATCACAGTTTTCCTTAACCAATTATGTTCTTTAATGCAAGGCCGACAGACAAGTTCCTTACTTTCTCCCTCTTCAACTTTCCTCTTCCACTTTTGCGGTAAGGCTGCAATTATTTGGTTGTAATTTTGGGTAGAGCAGACATTTCCATATGTTTTTGTTAGCTGCATGTGCGACATAACTCCACCAGTCCTACCGATGATATCATTTACGAAGATTATACCTTTTTTAAACATTCTGTCAAAAAATATAGGTTTTTTGTCAATTAGTATATTTGAATTTAACCACAATATTTGTTGCATTATTTGTTCTGTCGTTTCTGGAGGATTAAAATTGAAATTGCAACCAACTTTCTATGGCTTGTTTTAGAAATAGTGACATTTGGGAGATTATTTCCTTTTCAAATAACTGAAAGTGAGAGGTTGTAATCTGAATAAAGGGAAAAAGGCCTTTCTTGAACAGTGGGTGAGACAATCTTACTAATTTGCTTGAGATGTTGCTTCAATATATCTGCATAATTTTCTTTCCTCATGATGCCATCTATTTTGTGAAGTGCATCAGTCCTTCCTGCAGCAAATGTCCCCCACAGCATGATGCTGCCACCCCCGTGCTTCACGGTTGGGATGGTGTTCATCGGCTTGCAAGTGACCCCCCTTTTCCTCCAAACATAACGATGGTCATTATGGCCAAACAGTTCTATTTTTGTTTCATCAGACCAGAAGACATTTCTCCAAAAAGTACAATCTTTGTCCCCATGTGCAGTTGCAAACCGTAGTCTGGCATTTTTATGACGGTTTTGGAGCAGTGGCTTCTTCCTTGCTGAGTGGCCTTTCAGGTTATGTCGAAATAGGACTCGTTTTACTGTGGATATAGATACGTTTGTACCCGTTTCCTCCAGCATCTTCACAAGGTCCTTTGCTGTTGTTCTGGGATTGATTTGCACTTTTCACACCAAAGTACCTTAATCTCTAGGAGACAGAACGCGTCTCCTTCCTGAGCGTTATGACGGCTGCGTGGTCCCATGGTGTTTATACTTGCGTACTATTGTTTGTACAGATGAACATGGTACCTTCAGGCGTTTGGGAAATTGCTCCCAAGGATGAACCAGACTTGTGGAGGTCTACAATTTTTTTTCTGATGTCTTGTCTGATTTCTTTTGATTTTCCCATGATGTCAAGCAAAGAGGCACTGAGTTTGAAGGTAGGCCTTGAAATACATCCACAGGAACACCTCCAATTGACTCAAATGATGTCAATTAGCCTATCAGAAGCTTCTAAAGTCATGACATCATTTTCTGGAATTTTCCAAGCTGTTTAAAGTCACAGTCAATTTAGTGTATGTAAACTTCTGACCCACTGGAATTATGATACAGTGGATTATAAGTGAAATAATCTGTCTGTAAACAATTGTTGGAAAAATTACTTGTGTCATCCGGAAAGTAGATGTCCTAACCAACTTGCCAAAACTATAGTTTGTTAACAAGAAATGTGTGGAGTGGTTGAAAAACGAGTTTTAATGACTCCAACCTGAGTGTATGTAAACTTCCGACTTCAACTGTATATAGTATATCTCCAGGCCCATCCCTCAGCTGTTTACCAAAACATAGGCAGGGTGTCCGCTTTGTTATAGTTTCAATTAAGGATTCTAGCTTCATTCATTTCAGATGAAAAACACAAATGTGAAAAAATGTATGGATAGGCTATTGCGTTTAGACACTAAAACTATCTAGCACCAACTGGTTTTAGTCTTTGAGGCGGGGTAAACAGGCGACATCCGAGGACTGGGAAGTTCCCGTAGTTCATGTGTTACCATGGCTTCAGTCACCATTGTCGTATAGCTAGCTAATGGAGTACATTTCGATGTGCCATAGCCCATATCATGTTGTTGTAGAAGAGCTGTCATGATCTTGTTGTAGAAGATATGTGTCGCATGACAGAAAGACCAACACAAATCTTAGATGATTTAAAATAACTTTTGGGTACGCGTTGTAACATTGTATCTGGCTGTATCTTTCGGGAAATACAAGTCAATATAGGTTATGTACGAGGAAAGAGAAAACGAATTCCTAGCTACAGGTAAAATATATGAATTGATCTACTGTAGCTAGCGTGCTGAAATGATAACGGAGAGAAAGAGGAATGTTTGATAAATGTCCGTGTCATGTGGATGTCCAAATATTAACCACGTCTGGAATCCAAGTTCCAACACCGGTTCACTGTAATGATCAAACGTCCACCCTCAACATGTCAACAGCTCGGTTTAGCTGAGACGCATCTCTCGACGCCAGGTAAGGTAGGCTAGCCTACCATGTCTTTTTCTGAAATTATTATTTCCACCTGATTTATGCCGGTTTTAACTGAAATATTGCTCACATAACTTTACATTTTTCTAGGAGCTGTATCTGGCCAAATACACCAGGTGAGTGACAAAACAGGCTCATCACACCGCTTTTTTGAATAAAGCAAATTAAAAGGCAGTGTAAGCGTGTAACGTTAATCTTATAGAATTAAATCTTCATTATGATTTGCATATTGAAAGTGTGCTAACAATTAGCCTAAAGGGTGCAAACTGGTTGCCAGTACTGAAAAAAAGGTATTGGATGCTCCACAAACAATTAAATGAATCTCACAAATGTTTAGATCCAAATACCAATAAAGGTCTATTGACTGAAACGTTGGTGTGCTATCCAAGTTTGTGGAGCATCCAACATCAGTGTGCTGAACTTTCCATTTGATTTATATATTTGTTCTCTCTCCATGCACCTGTAAACACGAGCTGTTCGTAGCCAATGTATACTTTTCATTGACATTCTGGTAAAGGCTACCAAAAGAAAAACAAATTACCTACCATATAGGATAATGAAGTGCTACTAAAGTTTGATTACGGCTTCCCATAACCTAAATAGGTACAGTGCCTTGAGAAATTCACCCCGTGCACATTCAACTAATGGGGAAAAAGATCACATGGTTTAATTAGAGAGAAACTCATTGGAGACCTTAAGTAAAACTTGTATAATACGTGTCTTTATTTAACATGTTTTTCTATTGCACTACGCAGCTCTCCAACCTTATCTAATGCTGATCTCATATGATCTCATATTTGGGCTTCCTGTAGCTCAATTGGTAGAGCATGGCGCTTGCAACGCCAGGGTTGTGGGTTCGATTCCCACGGGGGGCCAGTATGAAAAATGTATGCACTCACTAAAACTGTAAGTCGCTCTGGAGAAGAGCATCTGCTAAATGACGTAAATGTTAAAGTAGGGCTTTATAAAAAAAAATAATAAGAATGAATAGTTATTCTTTCTCAGATCTTGCGCCTGAATTCAAATGGACGAAGTCTACCAATTGCTTTAAGATCAAAATGAATCAACCGTCTATTTCCCACAGGACTTCTATATCTCTCAGCTGATTCGTCAACTTGAGGACTTGGACATATCAAGTGGCATCAGAGCACAGAAGGTGATAACTGTAAACGTACTTACTATAGTTTAGAGCATTTAGATGTACAGCATGTATGGGCAGTATTGTAAGTCTAATCCATTTTACAGTTATGGATGTTTCCAGACAAGGAATTGTTACCGGTTGTGTGTGACCATTTCAACAAATCCCTTTGCCTTTAGTGTAGCGTTGTTTTTAATGCCTTTAATACAAATTACTTTAAAATTCATTTTAATACATTCATCTTTTATTTATTTTTTTAGACATTTCCATCAACACTCAATTCAAGTATCTACCCGACCACCTGCTGTAGCCCATCAGAGTCTACATCAGTGTAAGTAGATCAAATATTGTTAAATGCCTGCTCACTACCCTACTCGGTGACAGCTGGGCCTATTCACAGGCCGAATTGGATCTTCAGTGTGTCGGAATATTACCCTCTGGCTGCTCCACCACGACCGATGGTTCATTACCAGTCACCTGTATAGAAGGACAATGGGATATTAAATAATGGGCCAGCCGTTACCTTGATGGAGGGCAAATCAATCAACAAATGTATGCCAGCCCGTCCGACAACAGTTGGCGTCATATGTCATCTGCCGTCGCCAAAATACCTAACCTTAAATCGAATAGGTTTTCATTGGAATACATGAAAAAATTAAAAGCATTTTGTGCATCCAAACTCAAATAGTTTATTTCACCCCCATTTCTTGACTATCAAAAAAGGAATATTCCACTCAAAATATACCCAAACATGATTTACCTTGGCTGTTGTCAATTCACTAGGACAGTTTTTAGGTAAACGTTTTGTTTAGATAGGCTACTTAAAACGCCACATTTGGTTTTGTCAGGATTTTCCAAAGGTGTAAATTAAACACCTTTCAGGTTTATGGAGTTCGAAATTAAAATAAATGTTTATGTAATTATTTAAATTATTCTATCAGATCGCCATACTACTTAGCCCTTTGCCATCTGTATGCCCTTATCTTTAGTCAGAGCCAGCCACAGAGAGCCCAGTTCAGGATGATCCACAGACGTCCAACAATCGACATCCATCATCTCAACAGCAGGCTACGGCACCGGAGATCCACCAAACATAGCCAAGGGGAGGGCCGGGACACGAGCTCGAGTGAGTCTCTGTTGAAAATCACACCTGTCCAGGTGGCTTACACTGCCAGTCCGAGGGACAGGAGAAGGAGCAATGGGGAGAGGAGGGTAAAGACATTCTACTGTTGGGGCCCAATGAATGACAGAGCAGGGCTTGGGTCAGGAACCAGCACTGATGGCTCGAAGCGAAACGGTAGCAGCACACCGGTGGACATCCACTCTGACGCCAGCGATCTATCCGACCAAGAGAAAGGGGGCGCCCAGGCCCACGAGTGGGTCACGCCCGCAGTGGCGCTCCGGTTGAGGCCTGAACCTTTCGACCTGGACCATGACTTGCACTTCCCGGCGTCGTCGGAGGCCCAGTCTCCATTTGCGGAGGTGCTCCCCGCACCTCTGGAAGTGCTGGATCTGACCCGGAGTCTGCCCAGCACGGCCGAGTGGGAAAGTCGCCAGAGCCTGCACATGCGAGAGCCTTCATTGGCTGCCATCGTAAGCAGACTATCTGAGATGGAGGATCTGCAGGCGGCCACAGTACAGCGAGAGCTGACCAAAACGGGCCGGTGTCGGCCGGCCACGGCCGTCAGCTTGACCAGGAGCACTTCTCGCTTGAGGAAAGCAGATTTTCCGGGATCCAAACCGGTATTTGTGCCAACTGGAGTGTACGGTTCAGTTGTGTCCAGTTTTACGGAACTGAGCCTGTCTCGCGACTCGCGCCCTAGGCAGACTTGTGCTCCTTACAAACAGAACCACATCAGGGTGGGCTCAAGGCCACATACGGTCTTTAAAAGGCCCCGTTCCAGCTCAGCCAAACTAAGCAGGACAGAGACCCTTGTCCAGGTCCAGTCTTGGGGTGAGGGATCGACACCAAAACCTACAGGTTGCACCAAAATCAGAAAAGCCAAAGCTAACAAGAAAGGCACATTGAGCTCCCACAGAGTGTCACCACCGAACTCTGCAAAGAAAACTAAAGCCAGGGACTTGAGAAAGGCTTAACAATTGGAGACTGGGATTACTCTGACTATACATTTAGGAAGATCAGCCTTTTCCTTTGACAGGGTGTTCCTGATCACTGCACAATGTTTTCAAAGTAGAACATGAGAGCCAAGTGAACCAGTTGTACCAGTCAATGAACGTACAAAATATCTGGTTGGACCTTACCTGAACCCTTTGGTGTCATAATGATATACATTTTAGTCATTTAGCAGACGCTCTTATCCAGAGCGACTTACAGTTAGTGAGTGCATATATCATTTTTTTATTTTATTTTTTTCATACTGGCCCACCGTGGGAATCGAACCAACCCTGGCGTTGCAAACGCCATGCTCTACCAACTGAGCTACATCCCTGCCGGCCATTCCCTCCCCTACCCTGGACGACGCTGGGCCAATTGTGCGCCGCCCCATGTCAAAGTCAGGCAATGTTATCTACGTAGGTACTGGAAGCTAGTAGACTAGTGGGAATTAGCATGCCTAAATAACACTTTGTACAGGGTTCAAATTATACAGTCTCTTTGGGGTGTCAACATCTTGACTATTTTGAGGGTGCCCACACTGATGTTTAAATTCTTATTATTTTAGCACCTCTTAAAATTCAAACCACGGTTGAGTCATGTTTGTTTTAAGTCAGCTGTCATAAGCAGACAGGCTAAGTCATTGTTTTTTGACATCTTGACATTATGGCAACGTGATTATGTGGGCTATGACAGCGTCCAAGTAAACTGTTACCAAAGACCTCAATCTTCAGATAGTCCGTGCCTATGTTTACTATAGTAATACACAAATGAAAATGAACACAAGTTGTTACGTTCTCAATAGAGGACAGAATATGCATATTGATGTTATATCATAAGGAAACAGTGGTGTGCAGTCATTTGGGTTGGATGACATGAATAAAGTGAAGGATGTAGTCAAACGTGTTACGTAACATTTAAAAAAATACATTTCTGTTTTAACATTTTCTGAGAAATATCCACAGGGCTCATCGTTGAACATCTCCCTGGTCTCGAGTTTTACATGGGCACCAAAGCAGAAAGAGGAGACTGAGGGAACCAAGGCAGGGAAGAGAAGTTCCGACTTACCCTGAAAAACAAACACAAAATTGCAATGTTACCAGTGATAACATGAATCTGGCCATATTTCTCAATAACAAGAAAAAGTATTACCTTATTGTTGGTCACTTTGGCATAGACTTAGCCACATTATAACTCAAGTTCAATCAAACTAATACAATTTATCATGATTGCCTTATACTTTCTCAGAATCCTTAAGCAAAACATTCAGTTCATGAACAAATCTCAAAAGTCTATAATGGGTCCAAAATCTCACCCAATGTGTCTAATACTGATTCATTATGGTAACAATGTGTCTAATACTGATTCATTATGGTAACAATGTGTCTAATACTGATTCATTATGGTAACAATGTGTCTAATACTGATTCATTATGGTAACAATGTGTCTAATACTGATTCATTATGGTAACAATGTGTCTAATACTGATTCATTATGGTAACAATGTGTCTAATACTGACTCATTATGATAACTGAAGTAGATGCTGATAACATATTTGAAAATCAGCAAATCAGGTCATGACATCATGTCTACTCAAGATTGACTTTGCAAAATGACATCATACATGCCCCGTCTTCCTGCTTACAGACATCAACGACAGAATAAATAAAAACAATCTGCCAAGACTGCCACATTCGCCTCTTCCTAATTTGCACCCTCCCTTGAGCCTTGCCCACATGGGGGAAAAGCCACAAGTGTCAGTCTCAGAAGATTTCAATACTGTTGTTGATTTCTGTATGCAGGAATTTGCCCCGCTTTCTATGATGATGTCATAGTGATGAGTCCGCCTTCACAAATACAGTAACTCTCTCTAAAAACAGAAACCTTTGTCCAGAGGTGGTTCCTTGCGAGACTCTTCTCTAAAAAGGGCTGCACCTAGAATATATAGAGAACAAGTATCTTGGTTCAACTTTGACAATACAAGTCAAGCTACCTGACACCTTGTGGCAATCTGGAACCAGTTTAGAGCCATATGAGTAACCAAACACAGTCGGGCACATAGGCAGCTTGGAATGACACTTTGTTAACCATAAAAGTGTCTGTCATGTGTAGACAAATACAAGGATTAAGCCTTAACATCTTGTGAGCGCACATGTTTGGAACCACTACTTTTTAATGGTTGAGTGTCTAATGATAAAGGCCTCCAAGAAAACAGTAAGCGAAATTAATTCCCCATATTGTCTTTTACATCACCCCCCAGTGTTGTTGTTGGCTTTTAGTATCTAATAAAAAGCATGAGCACACCCAGAGAAAATTATTTTGTGTAGAGGTGCTGACTATTGGCGAATTAACTGTAAGCTATAAAAATAAATAGTCGCACACTCTCTCTCACATATATATATATATATATATAAACTCACAGCAATTTATTGGGTAAAACGCCCAATAAATTGCTGTGAGTATGTATATATATATATATATATATATATATATATATATATATATATATATACATACATATACAACTCACAGCAATTTATTGGGCGTTTTACCCAATAAATTGCTGTGAGTTTATATATATATATATATATTATATATATATATATATATATATATATATATATATATATATATATATATGAGTGTGCGACTATTTTTATAGCTTACGGCGTTTAGTATCTACACATGCCATCATAAATGACCTTGATAAGTGGCCTTGTGGAGGTCTTGTCTCTCTGAAAGTGGAGCCCAGGCTGGAGGTGCTGGACTGTCTCGCTCTCAGCCACCACAGGAAACATCATTGTGGGGGGGAAAAAACAGCACAAACATCAGCGTCAGTGAAACAGCACACAAAAATGATGTTGTCTTCTGCTCCTTTGGTTTGAACTAAATCTAGCATGTAAGGGCCGAATCCTAACTTTAAAGATCTGTACGCGTCAAGTTAGGCTCACAGATCTCCAAGTTAGGATTTCAGCCTAACAGCTGCTGAACACCAAATGTATTCTTAGTTTAGGTTTTTGGTGGATTAGCTTTAAAAAAAAAAGAACGCATTTCAGTTCATGGTTGACACTTTAAGGGGCCTGAACATTGGCATGTGTATGTATGGAAGACATTCATGGAAAAGGCATACATACTACATTAGCTACTCATTTAGGCTGTTTTATTTCTGTTATAAGAACATCATAATATATTATATATATATATAGAACATCAAATAAAGTAGAGGCAATTACCGCTCATAACAAAGCAGACTCAAAGCTCAGAGCAGGAATATCCCTGTATCAAAAGACAACATGGTCATACAAACATGAAAACCAATGATAGATAGCAGAGGGAAACAAAAACACTTAAAGATCCTTTTTCTTTTTTGAGAACACACCTAAAACAATTGCAACACATGGTTTTTGTATACGTAGCAAGACTGCTATCCTCACAGTTTCTAACATCGTAAAGGGAACGCAGGGAAAACAAACAAAAAAGGTACTCATTACAGTAGAGCAAATCAAATGTAGCTGTTCCATTTACAGAAGCACACTGAAGGTGATAGCTTGTTGGATAACGCCCCCCCCCCCCCCCCCCCCCCTCCCCTCCCCTCCCCTCCCCGACCCAACTTCCTCTCCACAATTTGGATGCGTGACTGATTTGGATTTTTAAAAAATCCAATCTTTGCCATAGTGATTTGTTTTAGGTTTAAGAAATATATAGGTTTATTTTAAACCATGGTTTCTTGACATGTAAGAGATTAAGGTAAACCATGTCTACAGGGGGATCTGGCTAAAACAATGTGTAATAAAAAATAAAAATAAATAAACATGAGGTAATAACAAGTTGATGGGTTTTGTTTTTTCTAGGAGGAGGAGGGGGGTAGCTTACCTTCAATGTACTGAAAGTGGTATACAACCTGCTTTAAATATGAGGAGGGGCCCATCCCTGCAGGGGTGCTCGAGTAGAACCCAAGGACCCCCAACCGTTTGGGTTTTCGGCACTGACAGACCTACAGGCAGCAGCAGAACGGGCATGCGGACCAGGGCCTGCACAGACACACCAGGATGTGGGGACAGGGTGGGTGGGGGGGAGCGCTCGGGGCTTTCAATACCTGGAGGAGATGTGGATATAGACATCATTTATGCTGGCCCTGCACCACATCAACATGTAACAGTAAGTCAAAAGGAGCTGCCAAGGTTGCAGGAGTTTAGTCTACTCACTGTACAAATATCCCATTCAAAAAAAGGTTAAAGGGCATTGGGTTACCCTCTCTGTGCTTGTCACAGCCTTGGCAACTCACAAATGACCGTTAACCCCAAAAACCCTTCCCAACAATCAGTATAAAAAAAATGTGTACTAACCCTAACCCTTCCCTACAATCAAAATTAACATTTTTACAGCAAAAAATATCTTCCACCTTCAGTCACCTGCAAGGGGCCAATCAAAAACTGAAGATCTGAGTGGATGAAAGTCCAACTCGAGTGGCTTACTGTCCATGAGATAGAGGGCTTATAATGAGACAGAACTCTCTGACTTGCAGAGAGGCTGAGACTGAACACATGTTGTGCAGCAGACATGAGCCCTACTACGGTTATATAATACAATCCACAAGGTCGATGAAAAATGGGAGAGTGTGTGTGTGTGTGTGTGTGAGTGCCAGCTCAAATAAATCAATTTCTTGGCCTGGGATGGGATCCAACCATAGTCAAACTAAGAACTCAGTACTGGTTGCTGCAATCAATGTGTGACTGTGTACAGTAGGAAGCGGTCAGAAGATCTTCTCCTGGATGTAGGGGTGCTGCAGGGCCTGGTTGATGCTGATCCTCTTGGCCGGGTCCAGCATCAGGGTCTGGTCCAGCAGGTCCTTGAGCTGGGCCACCTTCTTGCGCTGGTCCTCGGGCAGACGCTGACTGCCCACCATGTCAGCTAGCAGCTCCTTAGTGGGGTTGATGGTGCTCATCACTGTTACCTTCTCCTGTGGACGGGTGGGACAGAAAAAGAACAGGAGGGGGAGATCGAGGGAGGGCAGGAGGGAGAGGGAGAGAGAGAGAGAGAGAAAGATAGAGAAGGACAAACGGAACAGATAGGGGTGTGGGAGTTGGGTGGGGCGGGGCGGGGCGGGGCAAGAGATCAGAGTCAAGTAAGAACAGTGTGGGAGGAAAACAAACGGCTTTAAAAAGACAGAGAAAATAAAGGAATGAGGAAAACAAAGATGGTAGAGAGAAAATTAGAGTAACGGGGGGTGGGGGGGGGGATTGTAATAGGAGGAAAAGGAGAATGAAGAGGGAGAGAAAAAGGGAAATGTGGAAAAGGAGTAAGAGGACAGAAGGCAAAAGTTTTGAGGCAAGCAACACTGAAGCATACATGAGAGCATCAGCTGTTCCGGATGACTGTGATCACGCTCTCTGTTGCAGAGTAAAACCTTTAAGCAGGTCAACATTCACAAGGCCGCAGGGCAAGACGGATTACCAGGACGTATACTCTGAGCATGCGCTGACCAACTGGCAAGTGTCTTCAGACATTTTCAACATGTCCCTGACTGAGTCTGTAATACCAACATGCTTCAAGCAGACCACCATAGTCCCTGTGCCCAAGAACACTAAGATAACCTGCCTAAATGACTACCGACCCGTAGCACTCACGTCTGTAGCCATGAAGTGCTTTGAAAGGCAGTTCATGGCTCACGTCAACACCATTATCCCAGAAACCCTAAACCCACTCCAATTTGCATACCGCCCCAACAGATCCACAGATGATACAATCACTATTGCACTCCACACTGCCTTTCCCACCTGGACAAGAGGAACACCTACGTGAGAATGCTATTCATTGACTACAGCTCAGCGTTCAACACCATAGTGCCCTCAAAGCTCATCACTAAGCTAAGGACCCTGGGACTAAACACCTCCCTCTGCAACTGTATCCTGGACTTCCTGACGGGCCGCCCCCAGGTGCTAAGGGTAGGTAACAACACATCTGCCACCAGTGGCGGCTCCTGAAAAAATTCTCAGGGGGGGCAATTTTTCTGATGATTTAGGTGACCTACACACATTTAAAAAAGATATGTCCAGCAACAACATGAAGACAGGGGCAGCATATAAGTCAATACTGATATACACATTACTTGCTTCAAAAAGGCCTCATGGTTGAATTGGAAATATGTGCACCTGAGCATAATTCACAACAAGCAAGCAGGAGCTTTTGATAGAGGCTACTGAAAACATTGATGCAAGTTATTGGTAATAAGAAATTTTTATAGACTTCCATATTCTGCCCTCTTGTATAGATTTGTGAAAATGAACAGTGATAGACATTTTGCCTGAAAACAGAATTTGAAAATAATTTCTAGAAAAGGTAAACACAGCTATCTGTATGGCTTTGTAAAAATGAACAACCATATTCTGGCCAATTGTATAGATTTGTAAATATGAACAACCATATTCTGGCCAATTGTATAGATTTGTAAAAATGAACATGAACAGAATTATTATTATTTTTTTTAAAACTTTTTTAAAAATGAAAAATAACTATTTTAAACAACATCAACTGTGAACTGATTTGGGCGTGTGTGTGTTAAAGAGACAGACAGGGAGGGACAAAGAGAGAGAGAGGCTACATTACTTGTACTGAAACTGTTCTAGCTTGCTGCATGATCAAATTCAGCTGATGCGCATAGCAATGCACGTAATGGGCATTCTTGAAATGATCACGCACCTTTTGCTGCACACCAGCCTTCTCTCACCTCATCACACTGGCTCCATCGTAAGCTTGCGCAATGAGTTTGACTTTCTCGTCGTCGGCAAAAAGACCGTTCAGTCTCTCCAAAAGCACACTGGCGATTGAGACTGAGGTTGATTCCGAGATGGGAAGGAACTCAAAAAAGCGCTCCTGCACTTTGTGGTTGCTATCTATGTACCTCAGCACAAGCACCAGCTGTGTCTGTGTAGAAACGTCCGTGGTCTCGTCAGCTTGGATAGCTACGAAGTTCGCCGACTTCACCTCCTCCACAATATGTTCCCTCATGACCGCTAGCATACACTCCAGTAGCTCGTTTTGAATGGTCTTTGATGTGCCCTTGAAAACTTTAGCATTTTTAAGATGGTCATCAAACACCTCATCTAATTGTGCCACAAAGTTGACAAGTCCAAGAAAAATACCAGGGTTGGTGGAGCCCTCAGTTTCATCTTTGCCTCGCAAAGCTAGCCATCTTGACAGTTGTACGTGAATTGATTGACGCTGCTACCCGCTCTTTTCTTAGTTATGTTCATGGTTACTTATGTTACGTATGACGAAAGCGCGTAAGTGCAAGCCCTCCCGGAACCCATAGAGATTGTATAAAAAAAAAATATTTTACATGATAGTCTATGAGAGACTCCTGGGCGATTTTCAACCTGACTGAAATCGCCCCAAAAGGGGCGGGGCCATTTGAAGCACGACTTTAGCCTGATTGGACATTTAGTGGCAGATCAGACGTCTATATTAGAACACTGAAAACTACTGTTGCCGTGATATAATTGATTAGAAAAAAAATCCCTTCCTTTTCCCGTTTGGCAGTGCGTCGCCCATATCGCCCTAATGAACACACCGCCCCTGTCTGCCACGCTGATCCTCAACACAGGGGCCCCTCAGGGGTGCGTGCTCAGTCCCCTCCTGTACTCCCTGTTCACCCATGACTGCAAGGCAAGGCACGACTCCAACACCATCATTAAGTTTGCCGACGACACAACAGTGGTAGGCCTGATCACCGACAACGATGAGACAGCCTATAGGGAGGAGGTCAGAGACCTGGCCGTGTGGTGCCAGGATAACAATCTCTCCCTCAACGTGACCAAGACAAAGGAGATGATTGTGGACTACAGGAAAAAAAGAGAGGACTGAGCACGTCCCCATTCTCATCGACAGGGCTGTAGTGGAGCAGGTTGAGAGCTTCAAGTTCCTTGGTGTCCACATCACCAACGAACTATCATGGTCCAAACAAACCAAGACAGTCGTGAAGAAGGTACGACAAAGCCTATTCCCCCTCAGGAGACTGAAAATATTTGGCATGGGTCCTCAGATCCTCAAAAAGTTATACAGCTGCACCATCGAGAGCATCCTGACTTGTTGCATCACCACCTGGTACGGCAACTGCTCGGCCTCCGACTGCAAGGCACTAGAGAGGGTAGTGCGTACGGCCCAGTACATTACAGGGGCCAAGCTTCCTGCCATCCAGGACCTCTATACCAGGCGGTGTCAGAGGAAGGCCCTAAAAATGGTCAAACACTTCAGCCACCCTAGTCATAGACTTTTCTCTCTGCTACCGCATGGCAAGCGGTACCGGAGCGCCAAGTCTAGGTCTAAAAGGCTTCTTAACTGCTTCTACCCCCAAGCCATAAGACTCCTGAACAGCTAATCATGGCTACCCGGACTATTTGCATTGCCCCCCCCACCCCATCCTTTTTACGCTGCTGCTACTCTGTTTATTATTTATGCATAGTCACTTTAACTCTACCCACATGTACATATTACCTCGACAAACCAGTGCCCCTGCACATAGACTCTGTACCGGTACCCCCTGTATATAGCCTCCCTACTGTTATTTTATTTTACTGCTGCTCTTTAATTATTTGCTATTTTTTACCTAACACTTTTTTTTCCCTATTCTTAAAAACTGCATTGTTGGTTTAGGGCTTGTAAGTAAGCATTTCACTGTGAGGTCTACACCTGTTGTATTCGGCGCATGTGGCAAATAACATTTGATTTGATACCATAGAGACGCTAAGCTGCTAGCCATCAAGCTAACGAAGTTGGTACCAGATGAGTTTTGCAATGGAGCCCTGTTTGACTGGAGAACTAAATGAACGGTTCCAGCGCTGTATCTATTATGCTTTGTTTCGGGACAAACCGGATCACTCGGAGTTCCAATGCGGCAATTGTTAATTTACAGAGGATTATAGCCTTGAGGTGGCTTCCTTCATTTACGCAGGTCGCCAGCCTACGTAAGAAACTGGGGGAAAATGCAGAGTGGAATGTTAACATTTTCTACGCCGGTGGCTGGACGGCGTTCGCGCTTGTTGGATGCATCTCCGCCTTGTCGTTTGTCGTTATCCGACTGGCCGGTGTTGCCCGGAGCTACACCATCTGATAGCGCCGTCGAAGGAGCACAGCATGAGGAGAAAGGCAATCAACGATGGTCGCATGTCACGAGCCGTGGAAACCGAAGACAGCGACCTCCCGCAAAGCAGTCTACACTCCCAACGAGAGGCCCGGAGCGGGATACAAACAACGAATAGTTTCGCCGTCCTGGAGCCTGATCTTCCTGCACCTTCGTCGCTGGGGGTGCCTGTGTCTGCGGCCGCAGTGCCTACTACTACGATTTCTAAGTCGACGTCGGCAACCTTCCGTCCCTGCTCTGGATCGAGCGGGCCTTCTCCATCTGTCGGAGGCCTGCATCCTGTGAAGGGTGGGAGGATTTTCCTTGTCCTTCTCGCCAGCTGTGATTTTGGGCAGCTCCATGGTAAGAAATGTGACCGTTCCTGGTGCAAAAACAATGTCCTATCCCGGAGCTTGAGTAAATGACATGACTAAGCTGCTCCCGAATGTACTATGTCAGGACGTGGAAATCGATTCTATCGTAGTCCATGTGGGTTTTAATGACATTATGAAGGGCAGCTCTGAACAGTTGAAACTGGATTTTAAAGAGCTGATTGACTCTCTGCTAGACACTAACAAAAAACCCATCATATCTGGCCCTGTGCCCTCTCTGAATCGTGGCATTAAAACGCTTCAGCAGGATTTTTGCTCTTCACAACTGGCTACGTGATTATTGCAGCTCAATGGGTGTAACTTTTGTTGACAATTCCGATACCTTTTGGAAACAAAACACGTTTTATAAAGGAGGATGGGATCCACCCAAATAATTTGGGTTCCTGGGGGGTATTCATGTTAACATTCCCACTCAGACAATATGAGAGAAAACAACAACCTCCTACCCTTTCAGTAACTCGGTCTACTTCGGTGTACAGGAAGTTGAGGTTCTGGTCAAAGTGCTGGTCCTTGAATACACCTTTCCTGATCATCTGTGGAGGGGTAGAAAGAAAACAGTTGGGGTCAATTCCATTTCAAATGATTCCATTCAGGAAATAACCAGAAACTCAGATTTTTCTTGAATTGGAATTTCAGTAATACTTCTGAATAAATCGGTTTTCTGCTGTAAATATCCATTAGTATGGTGAAGGGAGTGTTTCTGTGGTTGGTGGTTTTTGGTCTCACCTTGTTAGGCATCTTGCCCTTGAGGTCCATGGCGAGCTTAATCATGTGGTTGTTGGTTTTCCCTGGGAAAAGGATCTTACCCGTGTACAGCTCATACAGAGTGCAGCCAACAGACCACATGTCGATCCCGTAGTCGTAAGGCTTCCCGATGACTGCAAGGACAGATACAGGCTTTAGGGGACTTGGACAAACTATGGCAAATTAGTATGTTTGATGAGCGTTGTGTTCATTAGGGCACAACATTTCAAAAAGTTTCAAAATGTTTAAAAAATAATAATAATAAAAAAGTAGTCCCTCCCTATTTTACTCAGTTTTTCTTCCGTTTGGTGCTAAACACGACAGTTGAACATTTTCCCTACAAGTTAGGACCTACAGCAGCGGTCACCAACTGGTTGTGGAGAGCTACTGGATCCACTAACTCAACTAATCAAGGACTTGAGCAGGTGATTAGTTAAATATAGCTGGGCTGGAGAAAAAGCCTGAACCCAGTATAGCAGCTCTCCAGGTCAAGGGTTGGTGATAAAAAGGAGAGTGACAGGATTTTTAAAAAAAAAGAACAGAACACAGAAGAGAAGAAAAGAGGGGAGAGTCTCACTAATCTCAGGCGCCCTGTAGAATCGGCTGACCAGGTAGGGAGTGATGTCATTCTCCGCCACGTGCGACGCCGAACCAAAGTCACAGAGCTTGAGGATGGTTTTCGACTCGTTCACCTGTTGAAAACAAACCAATAAATAAAAATAAAAATATATGCCACTTGACCTATATAAAACTCCAGCCAACATGTTGAAAAAGGTCAAAAAGGTGACACCAAATCTCCCAGCATTCCCCTTTTCACCAATTTAATTTATTGGAGAGATCAAGCACAATGACAATTGACTTGCAATCAAAAGTAGAACTGAGAGGCAGAATTGAATAATCGTATTTGACCATTACGTCACAGTGGAAAAGAGCGCTACGTGCTACTGTCAACAGGTAGATAACTAGTCAGCATCTAGTTATTTAATGGTTAATTAGCAAGTGAGATGACTCCGTGGTAAACTTAAGTCTTAGGCAAGTGATAAAACATGAACGTATGCATTTTAGAGAGTCAAAGGATTGGCATTGTACAATGGTCATCTCTATGCTAGTTAGCGGTGTTTACCCCCGTCAAACAGCACATTGTTCACACTGGGTGGGTTCAATTAAGACTGAACCGAGGTGCACTGGGATACAGCCCGTCACGTGACCGGGCAAACCTGGTAAGGGTAGAGCGCCCTGCTCAAAAGGAACAGTTATCTCCGCAAGCGGGTCTTAATACCAACAAGGCATCATATCGTGATGATCGTTCGGAAATATACAACCTGCTTTAAAAGCATGTATTTTCCATTAAAAAGTTTGTTAAAATTTTCACTTTCACTGTGACTGTGCTTAGTGAAATAGGGTTATTGGTGCTCTCTGGGGGCTACGGTGGGTTAGAGGTGACTGTCTCTCTGGGGGCTACGGTGGGTTAGAGGTGACTGTCTCTGGGGCTACGGTGGGTTAGAGGTGACTGAGTCTCTCTGGGGGCTACGGTGGGTTAGAGGTGACTGAGTCTCTCTGGGGGCTACGGTGGGTTAGAGGTGACTGAGTCTCTCTGGGGGCTACGGTGGGTTAGAGGTGACTGAGTCTCTCTGGGGGCTACGGTGGGTTAGAGGTGACTGTCTCTCTGGGGGCTACGGTGGGTTAGAGGTGACTGAGTCTCTCTGGGGGCTACGGTGGGTTAGAGGTGACTGTCTCTCTGGGGGCTACGGTGGGTTAGAGGTGACTGAGTCTCTCTGGGGGCTACGGTGGGTTAGAGGTGACTGAGTCTCTCTGGGGGCTACGGTGGGTTAGAGGTGACTGTCTCTCTGGGGGCTACGGTGGGTTAGAGGTGACTGTCTCTCTGGGGGCTACGGTGGGTTAGAGGTGACTGAGTCTCTCTGGGGGCTACGGTGGGTTAGAGGTGACTGAGTCTCTCTGGGGGCTACGGTGGGTTAGAGGTGACTGTCTCTTGGGCTACGGTGGGTTAGAGGTGACTGTCTCTCTGGGGGCTACGGTGGGTTAGAGGTGACTGAGTCTCTCTGGGGGCTACGGTGGGTTAGAGGTGACTGAGTCTCTCTGGGGGCTACGGTGGGTTAGAGGTGACAGTCTCTCTGTGGGCTACGGTGGGTTAGAGGTGACTGTCTCTCTGGGGGCTACGGTGGGTTAGAGGTGACTGAGTCTCTCTGGGGGCTACGGTGGGTTAGAGGTGACTGAGTCTCTCTGGGGGCTACGGTGGGTTAGAGGTGACTGAGTCTCTCTGGGGGCTACGGTGGGTTAGAGGTGACTGTCTCTTGGGCTACGGTGGGTTAGAGGTGACTGTCTCTCTGGGGGCTACGGTGGGTTAGAGGTGACTGAGTCTCTCTGGGGGCTACGGTGGGTTAGAGGTGACTGTCTCTTGGGCTACGGTGGGTTAGAGGTGACTGAGTCTCTCTGGGGGCTACGGTGGGTTAGAGGTGACAGTCTCTCTGGGGGCTACGGTGGGTTAGAGGTGACTGTCTCTCTGGGGGCTACGGTGGGTTAGAGGTGACTGTCTCTCTGGGGGCTACGGTGGGTTAGAGGTGACTGAGTCTCTCTGGGGGCTACGGTGGGTTAGAGGTGACTGAGTCTCTGGGGGCTACGGTGGGTTAGAGGTGACTGAGTCTCTCTGGGGGCTACGGTGGGTTAGAGGTGACTGAGTCTCTCTGGGGGCTACGGTGGGTTAGAGGTGACTGTCTCTCTGGGGGCTACGGTGGGTTAGAGGTGACTGTCTCTTGGGCTACGGTGGGTTAGAGGTGACTGTCTCTCTGGGGGCTACGGTGGGTTAGAGGTGACTGAGTCTCTCTGGGGGCTACGGTGGGTTAGAGGTGACTGTCTCTTGGGCTACGGTGGGTTAGAGGTGACTGAGTCTCTCTGGGGGCTACGGTGGGTTAGAGGTGACAGTCTCTCTGTGGGCTACGGTGGGTTAGAGGTGACTGTCTCTCTGGGGGCTACGGTGGGTTAGAGGTGACTGAGTCTCTCTGGGGGCTACGGTGGGTTAGAGGTGACTGAGTCTCTCTGGGGGCTACGGTGGGTTAGAGGTGACTGAGTCTCTCTGGGGGCTACGGTGGGTTAGAGGTGACTGTCTCTTGGGCTACGGTGGGTTAGAGGTGACTGTCTCTCTGGGGGCTACGGTGGGTTAGAGGTGACTGAGTCTCTCTGGGGGCTACGGTGGGTTAGAGGTGACTGTCTCTTGGGCTACGGTGGGTTAGAGGTGACTGAGTCTCTCTGGGGGCTACGGTGGGTTAGAGGTGACAGTCTCTCTGGGGGCTACGGTGGGTTAGAGGTGACTGTCTCTCTGGGGGCTACGGTGGGTTAGAGGTGACTGTCTCTCTGGGGGCTACGGTGGGTTAGAGGTGACTGAGTCTCTCTGGGGGCTACGGTGGGTTAGAGGTGACTGAGTCTCTGGGGGCTACGGTGGGTTAGAGGTGACTGAGTCTCTCTGGGGGCTACGGTGGGTTAGAGGTGACTGAGTCTCTCTGGGGGCTACGGTGGGTTAGAGGTGAGTGTCTCTCTGGGGGCTACGGTGGGTTAGAGGTGACTGTCTCTCTGGGGGCTACGGTGGGTTAGAGGTGACTGAGTCTCTCTGGGGGCTACGGTGGGTTAGAGGTGACTGTCTCTCTGGGGGCTACGGTGGGTTAGAGGTGACTGTCTCTCTGGGGGCTACGGTGGGTTAGAGGTGACTGAGTCTCTCTGGGGGCTACGGTGGGTTAGAGGTGACTGAGTCTCTCTGGGGGCTACGGTGGGTTAGAGGTGACTGAGTCTCTCTGGGGGCTACGGTGGGTTAGAGGTGACTGTCTCTCTGGGGGCTACGGTGGGTTAGAGGTGACTGTCTCTCTGGGGGCTACGGTGGGTTAGAGGTGACTGAGTCTCTCTGGGGGCTACGGTGGGTTAGAGGTGACTGAGTCTCTCTGGGGGCTACGGTGGGTTAGAGGTGACTGTCTCTCTGGGGGCTACGGTGGGTTAGAGGTGACTGAGTCTCTCTGGGGGCTACGGTGGGTTAGAGGTGACTGAGTCTCTCTGGGGGCTACGGTGGGTTAGAGGTGACTGAGTCTCTGGGGGCTACGGTGGGTTAGAGGTGACTGTCTCTCTGGGGGCTACGGTGGATTAGAGGTGACGCACCAGGATGTTGTCAGGCTTGATGTCGGCGTGCAGGATGTTGCAGCGTTTCAGCAGCTTCAGGGCCAGGAAGAGCTGCTGGCTGTAGGAGCGCACAGCCTTGATGTGGAGGCCCACATCTTTACCGTACTTCTTCAGCACCTCGCGCAGGTTCATACTGAGGAGTAGAGAGATACCACTTACAATATAGGCGTGCGTCACAAAATGATACCCTATTCACTACATAGTGCACTACTTTTAATCACAGAAGTAGTAGTAGTACACTATGTAGGGAATATAATAATAATAATAATAATAATAATAATAATAAGCCATTTAGCAGACGCTTGCGTGCATACTTTTTTTTTTGTGTATGGGTGGTCCCGGGGATCGAACCCACTACCCTGGCGTTACAAGCGCCGTGCTCTACCAGCTGAGCTACAGGAGGACCACATAATATGGTGCCATTTCAGACAGTTCAGTCATGCGTCTGTACATACATGTGCTAAAAATAATTGAGACCCTGGTTAGAACAAGACAATATCTACTCAGCGGTGAAACATGGAACAGAGTTGGGCTGGAAATTGCTAGGGACCTCACGATACGACATGGTTATGTTTGTATTTTAGAATAACCTCCATTGTCAGAATAAAAGAAAAGAAAATCAAACAGAAAAGTATTGAGCCTTTTGACCTGTTTTTTTTTTTTTTTTTTACACACCTCCTCCCAACTTCTCCAAGACAGGTAGAATGTTGGTACCTGTTGTAGGATGTTGGTACCTGTTGTAGGATGTTGGTAGCCAGCCACACGATAATGTGACTCTCTCACCTCACTGAATGAATGACAAAATGGATGAATGGGCAATAATTGTGCACCTTACTTCACAATCAAATTTTAAAAAATGAGGCCTAACTGAACGATGAGGGTGAAGAGGTTGATTTACTTTAAGAACAGCAACAGAGTGATGAGTTTTTGTTACGCCTATTTATTAGCGTTGGGGATCACGTTAATAATTTGACCGCGCGCCTTGCAGGGTTGATACCCGTTCTCTTTTATGTTTTACTTTGTAAAAAAAAGAAGCTGTTACAGGACTGTTTTATTTTACTGTAACTCTATTACTAAACAAATGTATTGTAAAGGAAACAAAAACATGCCGCGTGTTGCAGTAGAATCATGCAAAACATATCCTCGACTCTATCCAACTTTGATGAGCGGGAAAAACAAGTGACGCCGGTCAGTCTGCACAGCCGGCCCATCGTAACTAATTTCACACATAAGAGTTAGCCTATAGACAAGATTAAATTGACAATCTGACGCGTGACAATAGTAGGCCTATCAGTTGTCAAATTGTACATGAAGAGATGGGCGAATCTTTGTAATTTACAAATGCATGGAAAAGGAGTATGGAGGACTAAAAGTGCCACAATTAAATAAATAAATACACCATTAAATAATTACTTAAATGTGTCATTAATTAATTCAAATTAGAATTAAATACATAAATGTGTAATTAAATGTATCATTAATTAATTCAAATACCGATTCATTTTATGTAAAATACATATATAATTATTTCACTATTTACATTTACATTTCATGATCCTGCATTGCAGTGATTCATGAATTACTTAAAACTGTCAAACTGACCCATCAAAGTCAGTGGGCGGGGCTAACGCGAATCTAGTCTGATCCATTGCTTTGGTCTGAAGTAGAGTAGGCCAACCTGGATAGAGACAATGGAGGATCTCCGTGAACTTTCCAGGGAGTTGGTTAGAGACATTTTAAACTTAGCAGAGGATGTAGAAGCAGGACCTGCTGACATTATCCGGAATTGATTTGTCTTGGCTTGATGCAGAGGGTAACCAATCAGGCGTTAGGTTCCGCCTACCAACTTTTGATGGGTCAGTTTGACAGTTTTAAGTAATTCAGGAAGCACTCCAACGCAGGACCATGAAATGTAAATGTAAATAGTGAAATTATTATATATGTATTTTACATAAAATGAATCGGTATTTGAATTAATTAATGACACATTTAATAACACATTTATGTATTTAATTCTAATTTTAATTAATTAATGACACATTTAAGTAATTATTTAATGGTGTATTTATTTATTTAATTGTGGCACTTTTAGTCCTCCATAAAGGAGCATCACTTGATCAAATCCTCCTTCAGAGTCACATGCAGGTAAAACATTGTGATTTCCATACAGTATCTGAAAGAGCATATTCTGCAGTTTCTATGACATTTTACCTTTGTCAAATAACTCATAATTCAAGAGGTTCAGCTCTATTTCCAAATGTCCCTTTTCCAGTGATATATCCGTGCTGTCCATGCGTTCAGCACATGACCACTCGCGCGGCAGCATTTCTCTGGCTACTAAGCAAAAACTATGAACATAATAACATTACAATTACAAAATATGCTATTTATTGAGGCAATTCATCCTTTACAATTGTTCATGCACTGGTGCTTTTGTTTAGGAATATGGCAAATCATTTCACCTGCGCACCGGGCTGGTTATATTATTGTGTTTTTCATTTCTACTTAGTAAAAAGCTGCAGCAAATGGACTTGATTAATTACTATGACTCTATTACTAATTGAATCTACAAATAAAGTTGATCAAATGATCACTAATGTTTTTATTGTAAGACCTACTTCTCCTTTCTTTATTTTCTAAATTTGTATATGTCATCTTCTTTTTCCCCCTTTTTTTTGTGATTACGATCTTGTCTCATCGCCGCAACTCCCCAACGGGCTCGGGAGAGGCGAAGGTCGAGCCATGCGTCCTCCGAAACATGACCCACCAAACCGTGCTTCTCATCACCCACTCGCTTAAACCGGAGAGCCAGCTGCACCAATGTGTCAGAGGAAACACCGTTCAACTGACGACCGAAGTCAGCCTGCAGGCACCCGGCCGGCCACAAGGAGTCGCTAGAGCACGATGAGCCAAGTAAAGCCGGCCAAACCCTTCCCTAACCCGGACGACGCTGATCGAACCCCAGGCTGTAGTGACACCGCAACACTGCGATGCAGTGCCTCGACCGCTGCGCCACTCGGGAGGCCACAAACCAAGTTTTTTTTTTCTAGGACAAAACATATCCATTTTTTGTTTTGAAATCTTTCCACAAATATTTATTCATGAAATTAATCCTTTACAATAGTTTATACACTATTTATCAAGCGTTGGTGCTTATGTTTGGGCACCTTGTGGGTTGATATGGATCTGACGCGTATGCTAAAGGGGATACCCGGCAACGTTCTCTGGCAGCTACCTGTAGGCTGAAAGGCCAGGCGGTTCTAGAGTTTAAAAGAAGATGAGAACAAGCTTTAGGATGAGAAATACTGGAGGTACTTTGCGGCTACAGCCGACTAGTGCTAGCTAACGTTAACTGCCTAGCAAAAAATTATAAATCGATACTTGGGAGTCACAGTGTTGATATAAAAAAATGGGCAAAGATAATATCACCATACTCTACAGCAGGGTTCTTCAATTCCGGTCCTGGAGGGCCGAAACACTTCTGTTTTTTTATTTCTACCTGGTAGTTAATTGCACTCACCTGGTGTCCCAGGTCTGAATTAGCCCCTGATTAGAAGGAGAGGATGAAAAACAGAGGTGTTTCGGCCCCCTCCAGGACCGGAATTGAAGAACCCTGCTCTACTGTATCGATTTCCCCCATCCCTAGGACAGAGAGCAGCAGACTCTCTCAGACGTCAAACAGCCTCTTCGCATTCAATAAGAACATCTCTTTTCAGACTCCATCTTCAGCAGCAACCAAAAATGATCAATTGAAACCACATTATTTTACACAGGGAGAGCAATAACCTATGCGGAGGGGCCCACAATGCCTACACAATTTAGAAGGGAAACACTGTACTCAATCTAGGGGTGCCAGTGACCTGGAGGGTGTACCTGAGAGGCTCGAAGACCAGGCAGAGGTGCTGCTTGTGGTAGAAGTGTCGGAAGAGGCGCAGGCAGTGGAACTTGTCGTCCGGGTCGGCATCGTTGAGTTTCTTCAGGAACTCCAGCTCCTTCAGCCCAGTCTTCTGCCTGTTGGGACAGAGAGTCTAAAGTCTATCCCTAACCCACTGGTGTGCCAGTAGGTCAGGTCCCCCCCTGGAGAGCTACTGGGTGTACAGGCTTTTGTTCCAGCCCTGCTCTGACACACCCGACTCAAATAATTATGTCTCAAATAATCAAGTACAGGTTAGTGGAATCCGGTGTGTTAGAGCAGGGCTAGAACAAAAGCCTGTACACCCAATATCTACCACAATAGTAACTGAGGTAGATATGTAACTAGGACTACAGTGACAGATAATACAGTAACAGCGGTGTATGTGATGAGTCAAAAAAAGTGGGGAAAATAAGAGTCAATGCAGATAGTTAAATAGTTAACCAAATAGCTACCCGGCCTAATTATTTACCAGGCTTATGGCTTGGGGGGCAGAAGAAGCTGTACAACTTTTGGAGGATCTGAGGGCCCCTGCTAAATCTTTTCAGCCTCCTGGAGGGGGGGAAGAGGCATTGTCGTGCCCTCTTCACGACTGTGTTGGTGGGTGCGGACCATGACAGATCCTTTGTGATGTGGACACTGAGTAGCGTGCTCGTGCCCTCCGTTTCCTGTGGTCCACGATCAGCTCCTTTGTCTTGCTGACGTTGAGGGAGAGGTTGTTGTCCAGGCACCACACTGCCAGGTCTCTGACCTCCTCCCTGTAGGCCGTCTCATTGTCACCGGTGATCAGGCCTTTCCACTGTTGTGTCGTTGGCAAACTTAAATTGTGTTGAGAGTCGTGCTTGGCCACGCAGTCGTGGGTGTACAGGGAGTACAGGAGGGGACTGAGCACGCACCCCTGAGGGGCCCCCCGTGTTGAGGGTCAGTGCGGCGGATGTGTTGTTGCCTCACCAGCTTTTCTAATGTATTTTTCGTAATGAGTCGGACCCCAGGAAGACTAGCTGTCACTATCGGCGTCGGCTAATGGGGATCCTAAATCAAATCTAAAATAAATAAATCAACCTGGGGGGGCGGCCCGTCAGAAAGTCCAGGATCCAGTTGCAGAGGGAGGTGTTTAATCCCAGGGTCCTTAGCTTAGTGATGAGCTTGGAGGGCACTATGGTGTTGAACGCTGAGCAGTAGTCAATGAAAAGCATTCTCACGTCTTGTGAATGTTAACCTGTTTAAAAAGGTCTATGGAGAGCGTGATCACACAGTCGTCTGAAACTGCTGACGCTCTTATGCATGGTTCAGTGTTGCTTGCCTCGAAGCGATCATAGAAGGCATTGAGCTCGTCTGGTAGGCTCGCGTCACTGGGCAGCTCGCGGCTGGGATTCCCTTTGTAATCAGTGATAGTTTGCAAGCCATTCCACATCCGACGAGCGTCACAGCCGGTGTAGTAGGATTCAATCTTAGTCTTGTATTGACGCTTTGCCTGTTTGATGGTTCGTCGGAGGGCATAGCGGGATTTCTTATAAGCGTCTGGATTAGTGTCCCACTCCTTCAAAGATACAAGCCTCTTGTCAAAATATAAGATACAAGCCTCTTCCATGAAACAAAAGCACAATGATTAGGGACCGTTCACATTATGAGACAGAGCTGTGTTCATTAGTGCACAACGTAGCAAAACATATTGCAATGGGCAAGTTCAGGTAGTATCTCCCCCGTTTCAAAAATGTTTTTCTGCCTACTGAACGGGGTTCAGGACTAGCTATTGGTAGACGACACTCACATGAGCTCGTTGTTCCGAATGATCTTAATGGCAACCTCCTGGCTGGCGCGGGCCACGTCTCGCGCACGGATGACGTTGCTGAACACGCCCTGCCCCGTGTAGCCATACACGCTGTACCGCTTGTCCAGTATCTCCCCGATATTGAGTCCTGTCAAATATCAAAAGACATTGAATGTATTAGCTAACTGGTTATGAATAGGTAGGGATTGACCTTAAGCGTTGCCCCTGTTGCAAGTAAACAAAAACTGCAAAGAATTCCAGCAGGCCTAAAACGGATCTTTATCGTTCACTCCCATTGTTGACGTGAAAGACTGACAATTTATGGGATTTACGGCAGCCGGGCAAGTGAGCTGGTTCTGTGGTTGCGCCATTAGGAAGGTGATAAAAAATAAATAAATCCAGTAGCCTAACATTGCGGCTACACGGTTTCTTTTTGCTACACTGGAAGAGTAACTTTTGGTCAGCGTGAGCAGAACACTAGCCACTTTTGCTCTCATGCGTGAGCTGCGCGTCGTAATCTTGAAAATACTTACATTTTACGACTCAAAACAGTGTAAGCCTTTCGCAGAGCTGGCACGGTTACGCTCTTGTTGAAATGAACAGGAGTGTCTCAAGCTCTGCAAAAGTTACGTGTCCGATGTAGCACGTGAGTAAAACAGATTTTTTCTGCTTCCTCATTGTCGTTTGATTTAGCGACCAACAAGAAATGGCAATTTTGCATGTAAACAACCATCTTCACATTTTCATGCAAATCAAATCAACGTTTACTGGTCGCGTACACTGATGGCAGATGTAAAACACATAATCCAGAAAAATAAAAAAGACATTAAGAAATATCAGAGACCGGAATATAAATATTCACTGAACAAAAATATAAACGCAACATGTAAAGTGTTGTTCCCATGTTTCATGAGCTGAAATTAAAGATCCCAGAAATCTTCCAGCCGCACAAAAAGCTTATTTCCCTTAAATTTTGTGCACAAATTTGTTTACTTTCCTGTTAGTGAGCATTTTTCCTTTGCTAAAATAATCCATCCACCTGACAGGTGTGGCACATCAAAAAGCTGATTAAACAGCATGATCATTACACAGGTGCACCTTGTGCTGGGGACAATAAAAGGCCACTCTAAAAGTGCAGTTTTGTCAAACAACACAATGCCACAGATGTCTAAAGTTGAGGAAACGTGCAATTGGCATGTGGACTGCAGGAATGTCCACCAGAGATGTTGCCAGAGAATTTCATGTTCATTTTTCTACCATAAGCTGCCTCCAACGTCATTTTAGAGAATTGGCAGTATGTAAAACTGGCCACACAACCGCAGACCATGTGTAACCACGTGCCCTTGATCTCATTTTACATTTTAGTAATTTAGCAGACGCTCTTATCCAGAGCAACTTACAGGAGCAATTAGGGTTAAGTGCCTTGCTCAAGGGCACATCGACAGATTGTCACCTAGTCGGCTCGGGGATTAGAACCAACGACCTTTCGGTTACTGGCACAACACTCTTAACCACTAAGCTACCTGTCCACCCACTTCTCCACATTGGCTTCGTCACCTGCAGGATCGTCTGGGGGGTGGGGGGGGAATATTTATGTCTGTAATAAAGCCCTTTTGTGGGGACAAACTCATTCTGATTGGCTGGGCCTGGCTCCCCAGTGGGTGGGCCTATGCCCTCCCCCTGCCCAGTCATGTGAAATCTATAGATTACGGCCTAATGAATTTATTTCAATTGACTGATTTCCATATATGAACTGTAACTCAATAAAATCTTTGAAAATGTTGCATGTTGCGTTTATATTTTTGTTCAGTAGTGATTCATGAATGAATAAGCTAACAAACAAACGAAGGAACAAAGAAGGAAGGAGCTTAATGCCAAATGGACTTACGGTAGTAGCCCTCTGCGTCTGTCCAGTTGTCTCGGAGGTTGGGGTTCTCCTTAAAGTCCTTTCCGATGCCTGCTGCGCGAAGCCTTGCACTCTGCAGTGGCCACAAATCACTTGGTGTTAGTATGACGGGAGACCAATGGTTTTTCCAATGTTTGTTTTTTTCCTTTTAAGAAATCAGTTATCATTTTTCTGATGGGAAGCTGTGCTTGATTGAGCTTGCCTGGCGCAATGGAACCAAAGGAATAGTCCCAATAGTGCAAATGTTGTCCATCTGGCACCCCAAGCAGGCTCATTTAAAACGCTCAAAGTATTTGAAAGAAAAAACGAATACTATTTGAACCCAGGTCTAACCCAGGTCTGACTGTCAGGCTACAATACAAAACCACAGTTGAGGTGGTATTCTGACTTGAGATTGACGCGCCAAACTTTCGGTCCCCCCACTGACCTCAATTAATGATTTACGCTAAAGTCAAACTTGCGTGCTTATCTCGACTCTGAATCGGACAAGTCGCCTCACAGAAAGGTCACCAGAGAAAACGCTGTGGCCCGGTTTCAAATTACCCACTGACAGACGCGTGTTTGGACAGTAACAACACAAGGGCGATCCGGGACACGGACACCACTCTTTGCAACCCTATCTGCCAGGATCCTATTCCTTGGCACACGTCATGGTGGTCAGAGTCCACACGACACAATCAAAGGAACAAGAGGAGTACTCACATCAAAGTAGGCGGCAAACATGTCATCCGATTCGGTGAACATATCGGGGGCAGAAGGTTTTTTGGGGTTGGTTCCTTCTAGGAAAGAAAGGGGGTAGAGTTTAAACTCGAGCACTGCTAAACTGTAAAAGCACTTTGTGACAACTGCTGATGTCAATATGACTTAAAAAAAAAAAAAATTCATTGATTAAGAAGTCAGAGTATATTAGAAATTAACATAATAATAAGTAATTGAGTAATAGAGTTATGAACTACATTTGAACTCGATCAACGTCTATCACCCACTTCTATTGCTACTACTGGGCCTACTACTACTACTACTACTACTGGGCCTACTACTACTACTACTACTGCTACTGCTACTACTACTACTACTACTACTACTACTACTACTGGGCTACTACTACTACTACTACTACTACTGGGCCTCACTACTACTACTACTACTACTACTACTACTACTACTACTACTACTACTACTACTGGGCCTACTACTACTACTACTACTACTACTACTACTACTAACTACTACTACTACTACTACTACTACTACTACTACTACTACTGGGCCTACTACTACTACTACTACTACTGGGCCTACTACTACTACTACTACTACTACTGGGCCTACTACTACTACTACTACTGGGCCTACTACTACTGGGCCTACTACTAATACTACTGGGCCTACTACTACTACTACTACTACTACTACTACTACTACTACTACTGGGCCTACTACTACTACTGGGCCTACTACTACTACTACTACTACTACTACTACGCCTACTACTACTGGGCCTACTACTAATACTACTGGGCCTACTACTACTACTACTACTACAGCTACTACGCCTACTACTACTACTACTGGGCCTACTACTACTACTACTACTGGGCCTACTACTACTGGGCCTACTACTACTACTGGGCCTACTACTACTACTACTGGGCCTACTACTACTACTACTACTGGGCCTACTACTACGCCTACTACTACTGGGCCTACTACTAATACTACTGGGCCTACTACTACTACTACTACTACAGCTACTACGCCTACTACTACTACTGGGCCTACTACTACTACTACTACTACTACTACTGGGCCTACTACTACTACTACTGGGCCTACTACTACTACTACTACTACTGGGCCTACTACTACTACTACTACTACTACTACTACTACTACTACTACTGGTCCTTTACAGACAAGTAAAATGCCCGTTCAGTGGCGCTTCCAAACCATCTCCAGGGAAGGTTTTTTCTGCATTTAAAAAGCCCTGGTGTACCCTTACAGACTGTACTGAGCAAACTAAATCCAGCGTAAATCAATTAGTTTAAAGTATTTCATATAGGTCCAGGTCTTAGTTTGTCTGATGTGCACACACACTTATCTGAAAAGGCACATATGTTTACCATCTTTCTCCTGTTCGATGAGGTTGTGCTTAGCCTTGACGTTTTCTTCGAAGGTGTCCATGTTTTCCCGCTCGTACTCTTTGACGTCGGCCGTCACACGCTCCAGGATGCCGTCTGGTGAGGGCGAGCGGCTGCGCTGGCTGCTCTGGGGGCTGCCGGGGTCCGACGGTGCCGACATATTACTGTCCTCGTTCCCTCCCTTGTACTTCTGTTCACAGAAAAAACACACACACACACGCGTGAGCAAAAAATATGCAAGCACCGGCACGAGAACATGTACACTAACAAGTCACAAATACATACGCACACAGTGCACATGTCAAATCAAAATAAAATAAAATATTTGTCACACGCGCCGAATATACAACAGGTGTAGACTTTACCGTGAAATGCTTACTTACGAGCCCTTAACCAACAACGCAGAGTTAAAAAGAAAATTTGCACACAAAAAAAAAAAGAAATGGTAACACATAATAACAATAACGAGGCTACATACAAGGAGTACCGGTACTGAGTCAATGTGCTGGGGCACGAGTGAGTAATGAGGCTATATACAGGAAGTACCGGTACGGAGTCAATGTGCAGGGGCACGAGGGAGTTGAGGTGATTGATGTAATATGTACATGTAGCTAGGGGGTGTGAGTGTGTGGCGTCAATATTCACGTGTTTTTTGTGTGTGTGTGTGAGCGTATGTAGTGAGTGTGCATGTGTTGGGAGTGTCAGTGCAGTATGGGAGTGGGTGGGTAGTTTCTAGTGAGTGTGCATAGAGCCAGTGCATAAAAATGAGGGTCAATGCAAATAGTCCGGGTAGCCAATTGTGCCATCGGATGAGGGCATCACTGGTACTTCCCGTTTGAGCTTTTGCCTGTGAGCAGGAGGATAGAGTTATGGGCAGCTTTGCCAAATGGAGGGCGAGCTTTGTATGTGTCTCTGTGTGTGGAGTAAAGGTGATCTACAGTTTTTTTTTCCACCCGTAGTTGTAAAGGTGACATGCTGGTAGAAATGAGGTAAGACTGATTTCAGTTTCTCTGCATTAAAATCACCGGCCACACACATTTTCATGTTTGCTTACGGCCCTATACAGCTGGTTGAGTGCGGTCTTAGTGCCAGTATCGGTTTGTGGTGGTAAATAGACAGCTACAAAAAATATAGATGAAAACTTTGTAAATAGTACGGTCTACAGCTTATCATGAGGTATTCTAATGCCGTCGAGCAGAACCTCGAGACTTCCTTAATATTACAGATTGTGCACCCGGCTGTTAAAGAGACACAACACATAGGATGTTACAGTACTTCAGATCACGTTGATAGGATAGTCGCAAACGGAGCTCATCTAGTTTATTCTCCAGCGATTACAATCTATTTGTTCATAAACATGATACCTTTGAGAATTTGCACCCTTTTTCTAAATCATAAAGCAAAAATAAAATAAAAATGGATAACAGTTGTCATATTTACAACAAGAAAAACTATGGTCATAATTATTGGTATTCTTAGTGGTGTGCTGGGAGGGAATTCTGTGTTGTTGGTGGACAGGGAGAGAGAGAGGGGCAGGTTGGTGGACAGGGAGAGAGAGAGAGGGGCAGGTTGGTGGACAGGGAGAGAGAGGGAGGTTGGTGGACAGGGAGAGAGAGGGAGAGGGAGGTTGGTGGACAGGGAGAGAGAGAGAGAGGGGCAGGTTGGTGGACAGGGAGAGAGAGAGGGGCAGGTTGGTGGACAGGGAGAGAGAGGGAGAGGGAGGTTGGTGGACAGGGAGAGAGAGAGAGAGGGGCAGGTTGGTGGACAGGGGAGAGAGAGAGGGGCAGGTTGGTGGACAGGGAGAGAGAGAGGGGCAGGTTGGTGGACAGGGAGAGAGAGAGGGGCAGGTTGGTGGACAGGGAGAGAGAGAGAGAGGGGCAGGTTGGTGGACAGGGAGAGAGAGAGAGAGGGGTAGGTTGGTGGACAGGGAGAGAGAGGGGGGCGGGTTGGTGGACAGGGAGAGAGAGGGGGGCGGGTTGGTGGACAGGGAGAGAGAGAGAGGGGCAGGTTGGTGGACAGGGAGAGAGAGAGAGGGAGGTTGGTGGACAGGGAGAGAGAGAGGGGCAGGTTGGTGGACAGGGAGAGAGAGAGGGGCAGGTTGGTGGACAGGGAGAGAGAGGGAGGTTGGTGGACAGGGAGAGAGAGAGAGGGGGGCAGGTTGGTGGACAGGGAGAGAGAGAGAGGGGCAGGTTGGTGGACAGGGAGAGAGAGGGAGGTTGGTGGACAGGGAGAGAGAGAGGGAGAGAGAGGGAGAGAGAAGGAGGGGGAGGTTGGTGGAGAGGGTGAGAGAGGGGGAGGTTGGTGGACAGGGAGAGCGAGGGGGAGGTTGGTGGACAGGGAGAGAGAGGGCGAGAGAGAGGGGGGGGGGTTGGTGGACAGGGAGAGAGGATCGGTGGACAGGGAGAGAGAGGGATTGACTCCCTTGGCACTAAGCATGTGGAAGTAACACAAAACCTGGGATTAGGGGTGTGGCCTGAGCACAGGCACGGCACACAGTGTCCAACGCCATTCTAATTGTCGAACTAACAATCAAAACAGCTGAGTGTGTCACGTTTGCATGCTGTGTACGACAACGGCCAATAAAGAAACGGTTAAAATATATACTGTAGCAACATGGCTGTGTGCCTCTGTTAAGTTAGGTCGGTGCAGAGGGGATGATGTCAGAGGTCTTTTTACCCACCTGGACGATGGCCAGGCGCTGTAGCCTCCTCTGTTCGATGAGGGCCTCCTCGTCCTCCTCATCAACGTCGTAATCTTCCAGCCTATTACACGACACGTCAACTCTCAACACACACATACAAATGTGGTCGTCCACCCCACACCCATAAACAATAGCTCATATTGCTAAAAAAAAATTGTGTGGTTTCACTAATGAAATTGAAATGGATTAATGTTGTATCATTTGTGTATGAACGATACATTCAACAATAAGCAACTAAAATTCACTCCCTAGTGAACTGCCTACACTTCATCTTCAGAGTCCTCCTTGTCAGCCTTCATTCCTTCCGAGAGGCTGCCCTTGAACTTGTCCTCTCTGTCCCGGCTCAGCCTCTGCCTCCTCTCCTGGGATCTGGAACCCCAATGTGGCCTCCGTCCCATCCTGTCCCGATCCAATGACCTACGTAGAAGAGTCACAGGAAAGAAAAGCAAAAGCCTGAGCATCTTACAGGTGCAATATGTACGATTTCCTGATGTTCAAATGGTCATTGCAATTACAGTGCATTCAGAAAGTATTCAGACCCCTTCCCCTTTTCCACTGTTACGTTACAGCCTTATTCTAAAATGGATTAAATATAACAAATTCCTCATCAAATCTACACACAATACCCCATAACAACAAAGTGAAAACAGGTTTAGATATTTTAGCAAACGTATACAAAAAAAATTATAATACCTTATTTACATAAGTATTCAGACCCTTTGCTATGAGTTTCGAAATTGAGTTCAGGTGCATCATGTTTCCATTGATAATCCTTGAGATGTTTCTACAACTTGATTGGAGTCTACCTGTGGTAAATTCAACTGAATGGACATGATTTGGAAAGAAACACACGTACAGTGGGGAGAACAAGTATTTGATACACTGCCGATTTTGCAGGTTTTCCTACTTACAAAGCATGTAGAGGTCTGTAATTTTTTATCATAGGTACACTTCAACTGTGAGAGATGGAATCTAAAACAAAAATCCAGAAAATCACATTGTATGATTTTTAAGTAATTAATTTGCATTTTATTGCATGACATAAGTATTTGACACATCAGAAAAGCAGAACTTAATATTTGGTACAGGAACCTTTGTTTGCAATTACAGAGGTCATACGTTTCCTGTAGGTCTTGACCAGGTTTGCACACACTGCAGCAGGGATTTTGGCCCACTCCTCCATATAGACCTTCTCCAGATCCTTCAGGTTTTGGGGCTGTTGCTGGGCAATACGGACTTTCAGCTCCCTCCAAAGATTTTCTATTGGGTTCAGGTCTGGAGACTGGCTAGGCCACTCCAGGACCTTGAGATGCTTCTTACAGAGCCACTCCTTAGTTGCCCTGGCTGTGTGTTTCGGGTCGTTGTCATGCTGGAAGACCCAGCCACGACCCATCTTCAATGCTCTTACTGAGGGAAGGAGGTTGTTGGCCAAGATTTCGCGATACATGGCCCCATCCATCCTCCCCTCAATACGGTGCAGTCGTCCTGTCCCCTTTGCAGAAAAGCATCCCCAAAGAATGATGTTTCCACCTCCATGCTTCACGGTTGGGATGGTGTTCTTGGGGTTGTACTCATCCTTCTTCTTCCTCCAAACACGGCGAGTGGAGTTTAGACCAAAAAGCTCTATTTTTGTCTCATCAGACCACATGACCTTCTCCCATTCCTCCTCTGGATCATCCAGATGGTCATTGGCAAACTTCAGACGGGCCTGGACATGCGCTGGCTTGAGCAGGGGGACCTTGCGTGCGCTGCAGGATTTTAATCCATGACGGCGTAGTGTGTTACTAATGGTTTTCTTTGAGACTGTGGTCCCAGCTCTCTTCAGGTCATTGACCAGGTCCTGCCGTGTAGTTCTGGGCTGATCCCTCACCTTCCTCATGAATCATTGATGCCCCACGAGGTGAGATCTTGCATGGAGCCCCAGACCGAGGGTGATTGACCGTCATCTTGAACTTCTTCCATTTTCTAATAATTGCGCCAACAGTTGTTGCCTTCTCACCAAGCTGCTTGCCTATTGTTCTGTAGCCCATCCCAGCCTTGTGCAGGTCTACAATTTTATCCCTGATGTCCTTACACAGCTCTCTGGTCTTGGCCATTGTGGAGAGGTTGGAGTCTGTTTGATTGAGTGTGTGGACAGGTGTCTTTTATACAGGTAACAAGTTCAAACAGGTGCAGTTAATACAGGTAATGAGTGGAGAACAGGAGGGCTTCTTAAAGAAAAAACTAACAGGTCTGTGAGAGCCGGAATTCTTACTGGTTGGTAGGTGATCAAATACTTATGTCATGCAATAAAATGCAAATTAATTACTTAAAAATCATACAATGTGATTTTCTGGATTTTTGTTTTAGATTCCGTCTCACACAGTTGAAGTGTACCTATGATAAAAATTACAGACCTCTACATGCTTTGTAAGTAGGAAAACCTGCAAAATCGGCAGTGTATCAAATACTTGTTCTCCCCACTGTATGTATGTATGTATGTATGTATGTATGTATGTATGTATGTATGTATGTATGTATGTATGTATCTATATACAGTGGGGGAAAAAAGTATTTAGTCAGCCACCAATTGTGCAAGTTCTCCCACTTAAAAAGATGAGAGAGGCCTGTCATTTTCATCATAGGTACACGTCAACTATGACAGACAAATTGAGAATTTTTTTTCCAGAAAATTACATTGTAGGATTTTTAATGAATTTATTTGCAAATTATGGTGGAAAATAAGTATTTGGTCACCTACAAACAAGCAAGATTTCTGGCTCTCACAGACATGTAACTTCTTCTTTAAGAGGCTCCTCTGTCCTCCACTCGTTACCTGTATTAATGGCACCTGTTTGAACTTGTTATCAGTATAAAAAACACCTGTCCACAACCTCAAACAGTCACACTCCAAACTCCACTATGGCCAAGACCAAAGAGCTGTCAAAGGACACCAGAAACAAAATTGTAGACCTGCACCAGGCTGGGAAGACTGAATCTGCAATAGGTAAGCAGCTTAGTTTGAAGAAATCAACAGTGGGAGCAATTGTTAGGAAATGGAAGACATACAAGACCACTGATAATCTCCCTCGGTCTGGGGCTCCACGCAAGATCTCACCCCGTGGGGTCAAAATGATCACAAGAACGGTGAGCAAAAATCCCAGAACCACACGGGGGGACCTAGTGAATGACCTGCAGAGAGCTGGGACCAAAGTAACAAAGCCTACCATCAGTAACACACTACGCCGCCAGGGACTCAAATCCTGCAGTGCCAGACGTGTCCCCCTGCTTAAGCCAGTACATGTCCAGGCCCGTCTGAAGCTTGCTAGAGTGCATTTGGATGATCCAGAAGAGGATTGGGAGAATGTCATATGGTCAGATGAAACCAAAATAGAACTTTTTGGTAAAAAGTAAACTCGTCGTGTTTGGAGGACAAAGAATGCTGAGTTGCATCCAAAGAACACCATACCTACTGTGAAGCATGGGGGTGGAAACATCATGCTTTGGGGCTGTTTTTCTGCAAAGGGACCAGGACGACTGATCTGTGTAAAGGAAAGAATGAATGGGGCCATGTATCGTGAGATTTTGAGTGAAAACCTCCTTCCATCAGCAAGGGCATTGAAGATGAAACGTGGCTAGGTCTTTCAGCATGACAATTATCCCAAACACACCGCCCGGGCAACGAAGGAGTGGCTTCGTAAGAAGCATTTCAAGGTCCTGGAGTGGCCTAGCCAGTCTCCAGATCTCAACCCCATAGAAAATCTTTGGAGGGAGTTGAAAGTCCGTGTTGCCCAGCGACAGCCCCAAAACATCACTGCTCTAGAGGAGATCTGCATGGAGGAATGGGCCAAAATACCAGCAACAGTGTGTGAAAACCTTGTGAAGACTTACAGAAAACGTTTGACCTGTGTCATTGCCAACAAAGGGTATATAACAAAGTATTGAGAAACTTTTGTTATTGACCAAATACTTATTTTCCACCATAATTTGCAAATAAATTCATTAAAAATCCTACAATGTGATTTTCTGGATTTTTTTTTCTCATTTTGTCTGTCATAGTTGACGTGTACCTATGATGAAAATTACAGGCCTCTCTCATCTTTTTAAGTGGGAGAACTTGCACAATTGGTGGTTGACTAAATACTTTTTTCCCCCACTGTATATGGTCCCACAGTTGACAGTGCATGTCAGAGCAAAAACCAAGCCATGAGGTCAAAGGAATTGTCTGTAGAGCTCCGAGACAGGATTGCGTCGAGGCACAGATCTGGGGAAGGATACCCAACAATTTCTGCAACATTGAAGGTCCCCAAGAACACCGTGGCCTCTATCATCCTTAAATAGAAGAAGTTTGGTACCACCAAGACTCTTCCTAGAGCTGGACGCCCGGTCAAACTCGGGGGCGAGGGGCCTTGGTCAGGGAAATGACCAAGAACCCGATGGTCACTCTGACAGAGCTCCTCTGTGGAGATTGGGGCACCTTCCAGAAGGACAACCATCTCTGCAGCACTCCAGCAATCAGGCCTTTATGTTAGAGTGGCCAGACGGAAGCCACTCCTCAGTAAAAGGCACATGACAGCCTGCTTGGAGTTTGCCAAAAGGCACCTAAAGGACTCTAAGACCATGAGAAACAAGATTCTCTGGTCTGATGAAACCAAGATTGAACTCTTTGGCCTGAATACTAAGCATCACGTCGCAGGGCGGCAGGTAGCTTAGTGGGTAAGAGCGTTGTGCCAGTAACCGAAAGGTCGCTGGTTCTAATCCCCGAGCCGACTAGGTGAAAAATCTGTCGATGTGCCCTTAAGCAAGGCACTTAACCCTAATTGCTCATGTAAGTCGCTCTGGATAAGAGCGTCTGCTAAATGACTAAAATGTAAATGTAAATGGAGGAAACCAGGCACCCTCCCTACGGTGAAGCATGGTGGTGGCAGCATCATGCTGTGGGGATGTTTTTCAGCAGCAGGGAGACTAGTCAGGATTGAGTGAAAGATGAACGGAGCAAAGTACAGAGACATCCTTGATGAAAACCGCTCCAGAGCGCTCAGAACCTCAGACTGGGGCGAAGGTTCACCTTCAAAACAGGACAACGACCCTAAGCACACAGCCAAGACAACGCAGGAATGGCTTCGGGACAAGTCTCTGAATGTCCTTGAGTGGCCCAGCCAGAGCCCGGACTTGAACCCGATCGAACATCTCTGGAGAGACCTGAAAATAGCTGCGCGGCAATGCTCCCCATCCAACCTGACAGAGCTTGAGAGGATCTGCAGAGAATAATGGGAGAAACTCCCCAAATACAGGTGTGCCAAGCTTGTAGCATCATACCCAAGAAGACTTAAGGATATAATCACTGCCAAAGGTGCTTCAACAAAGTACTGAGTAAAGGGTCTGAATACTCATGTAAATGTGACATTATTATTTTAATTTTTTATCAAATGTGCAACAATAAAAATAAAAAAAATGTTTTTGTTTTGTCATTATGTGTATTATCCATTTTAAAATAAGGCTGTAACGTAACAAAATGTGGAAAAGTGGAAAAAGTCAAGGGGTCTGAATACTTTCCGAATGCACTGTATAACCATTGAATCTTGAAGAAAAAAACATAATTAGGGCTGGTGGTTAGAGGGTCGGGCCAGTAACCGAAAGGTTGCCGGTTCGAATACCCGAGCCAACAAGGTGAAAAATCGGTCTATGTGCCCTTGAGCAAGGCACTTAACTGTCATTTGCTCCAGGGGCGCCGTACTACTGTGGCTGACCGTGTAAAACAACACCTATTCGGTGACAATAAAATAAGAACTATCATAGCCTCAAAATAGGTAAGTTGCAACACTTTAAAATAAAGAATGACGTTTCGGTCAGACCTTCATCAGACAGAGAACGGGAAATAATAATAATAATAATAATAATAATAATAAGCCATTTAGCAGACGCTTTTATCCAAAGCGACTTACAGTCATGTGTGCATACATTTTTACGTATGGGTGGTCCCGGGGATCGAACCCACTACCTTGGCGTTACAAGTGCCATGCTCTACCAGCTGAGCTACAGAGGCCCATCTGTATATATAGACTCACAGACATATACAGTTGAAGTCGGAAGTTTACATACACATACACAAACTTGTTTTCAACCACTCCACAAAATTTCTTGTTAACAAACTATAGTTTTGGCGAGTCGGTTAGGACATCTACTTTGTGCATGACAAGTAATTTTTCCAACAATTGTTTACAGACAGATTATTTCACTTATAATTCACTGCATCACAATTCCAGTGGGTCAGAAGTTTACATACACTAAGTTGACTGTGCTTTTAAACAGCTTGGAAAATTCCAGAAAATGATGTAATGGCTTTAGAAGCTTCTGATAGGCTAATTGACATAATTTGAGTCAATTGAAGGTGTACCTGTGGATGTATTTCAAGGCCTACCTTCAAACTCAGTGCCTCTTTGCTTGACATCATGGGAAAATCTAAAGAAATCAGCCAAGACCTCAGAAAATGATTTGTAGACCTCCACAAGTCTGGTTCATCCTTGAAAGCAATTTCCAAACGCCTGAAGGTACCATGTTCATCTGTACAAACAATAGTACGCAAGTATAAATACCATGGGACCACGCAGCCGTCATAACGCTCAGGAAGGAGACCCGTTCTGTCTCCTAGAGATGAACGTACTTTGGTGGGAGCAAGGAGGCCTACAAACCTGACTCTGTTACACCAGCTCTGTCAGGGGGAATGGGCCAAAATTCACCCAACTTATTGTGAGAAGCTTGTGGAAGGTTACCCGAACGGTTTGACCGAAGTTAAACAATTTAAAGGCAATGCTACCAAATACTAATTGAGTGTATGTAAACTTCTGACCCACTGGGAATGTGATGAAAGAAATAAAAGCTGAAATAAATCAATAATTCTCTCTACTATTATTCTGACATTTCACATTCTTAAAATAAAGTGGTGATCCTAACTGACCTAAAACAGGGAATTTTTACTGGGATTAAATGTCAGGAATTGTGAAAAACTGAGTTGAAATGTATTTGGCTAAGGTGTATGTAAACTTCCGACTTCAACTGAACACAACACAGGTGGGGATAGTACAGTTATCAGACATATGGGGAGAAAAGTACCTCCACCCACCTCCTCCTGAATGGAGACCTGCTGCGTCTCCTGGGAGAGCGACACCTCCGCCTGAAAGGTGAGCGGCTGAACCGTCGAGCTGGGCTGGCATCCCTGCGGCCCCCTGCCTCGTCCTGGCGCCGCATCCTGAAGACCACGCAGCAACAGGACAAGGGCTTACACATTCAATATTTTCCACGCATTACCTAAAGGGTTTGTGTGATTTGATTTGGACACGATTCAATGTGTGGATGATGTAAACTGGACTACGTTTGGTAGGGAATATCGCGCATGACTACATCTCCCATGAGCACTCACACCAGCACTAATTTCTTCTTTCCTGGCACAGATTCTGCTGATAGACCCTTCCTGGAAATAGCAGCTGTCTACTTGCAATTAGAGCGTTGGGCTTAGTAACTGAAAAAGTCGCAGGTTCGAATACCCAAGCAGACAAGGTGAAAAATCTGTCTATGTGCCCTTGAGCAAGGCACTTAAACCCTAATTTGCTCCAGGGGCGCCGTACTATGGCTGACCCTGTAAAACACATTTCACTGCACCTATCATACTACTATGGCTGACCCTGTAGAACAACACATTACACTGCACCTATCATACTGCTATGGCTGACCCTGTAGAACACATTACACTGCACCTATCATACTACTATGGCTGACCCTGTAAAACAACACATTACACTGCACCTATCATACTACTATGGCTGACCCTGTAGAACAACACATTTCACTGCACCTATCATACTACTATGGCTGACCCTGTAAAACAACACACTGCAGCTATCCCGTGTATGTGACAATACATCTTATTATTATTTTAACTGAGATGTGGTTTTAAATGTGAGCCCTTAACCAGCCTCGGTGTGGTGTCTAACACACCCCCAGAATTACTAGGGCTGTATTCACTAGAAACTAAATGGAAACAACCAGCTGAAACGGAGAAGGACTATCCTAAATTCGCCCCATAAGAAATGCTACTTTTTCATGTTGCAAAACGTTTTGCTACAGTGTGCAATAATGAATACGCCCCGCCCCCCCCCCCCCAAGCTTCCCATCCCAATACTCATGGTCTATCCCGGGAGGAAAGAGACAACCCGGACCTAATGGTTTTCCCAATATGTTACCAGTAAATTAATTTGTGGACCCTGTACCTGGTTGTGAGAAGATACATCTCCTCCTTGAAAACAAAAGCATGTTTATCTGTATCAAACGCAAAAGGCCAAATTTCTTAACTCATCAACTTGGATTACTTTTTGTGATTCATGTGTGGAATCGACATGAGGCCAAACAATGTTCTGACCTGCCAGGTGAGAGTCTCAGTCGGTCCACCTCTCTCCTTTGACACTCCGGGGAGCGTGGGTGGCCCCCTCTGGGTGGTGGCGGTGACCTGGCCCATCGCTCGGCTGCCTGGGGACCTGAAGAGGAGGCCCGGGGGTCCCGGCACTGTGATGGGGACGTGCTGCGCTGCAGCTGGGGGGCGGGGCCTGGTGGCCTCCCTCGCAGGCCAGGAGAGCAGTTCTCATTCCCAGAGGAAGCGTCCTTGGCGGGGGACTTGATCGCCTTCTTGTGTTTGTCCTGGTTTTGAGCAGGCTGCTTGCTAGTGCCAGGAGGAGACTTGGACACCCGTGCCCTTTCCTTAAAGCAATCCGCACTCATGGAATGTCTCCTGCTGTCTCTATCCCTGGACGTGCTCATCCCTCTCATCTGATCCTTGATCTTGCTGTCCGTCTTTCTCTTCCTAGCGTCTTTATTGGGATTTTTCTGCTTAGCTTTGCCGGCATCTGCCGACTCTCGCTGGACTCTACCAGCGTCTTTAGCGGTCTGCGAGCCTGAGCCAGCCCCAGTTTCCCCTCTCCGCAAGTGCTGCCCGTTGCACACCCTCTCCCCCTGAATCTCCCCATCCTCCTCCTCCCCAGAGTGGTATCCCTGGAGTATGAGCCCCATGCCCGACTGTACCCCCCTGCCCCCCTCAGTCATTTCACTGTCTAGCTCAGCTTGGATCAGGGCCCGCTGTTTCTCCAGCTCCTCCAGAAGCGCCATCTCGTCGTCTTCCAGTCTCGGCTGCTTGGAGAAGCAAGAGTATGTGAAAGCGTTGTCGTCGCCACCGGTGGGGAAGCCGTCGGTCGAGGGGCCATCTTTACGCCTGTGCTTCTTGTGCTTGTGCCGGTGCTTGTGGCGCCGCTCCTTGTCCTCAGGTGAAGACTGCTTGTGTCTCTTCTGTTTGCTGCGGTGCTTGTGTTTCTTTTTCTTGGCCTTGGCTGAGCTCGCGGCAACGCTGAGCTTCAACGAACCGGCTTCGGCCTTCCCGGCGGCGCCTCCCTCCTCCTCTGACAGGTCCTGGTCTTCCTCTTCATTACCACTCCTCTCTGCATCCTCTCCCCTGCACACGACAGGATATTGGAAAGATTAATGTAATGATTAAATCAACTGGAATGCCCCATGGTAATTGGTTCATTTTGACAACTATTGCTGGTTCATTCCACAACTACTAGTGGTGTAACTTGTGTGTTTCTCAAACCTTTCTTTGGGGACCCCCAGTCGTTTCACAATTTTGTTGCAGCCTGAACAAGCACACCTGATTCAATTAGCTAGTCAGGGGCTTAATGATTGACAAGTTGAATCAGACGTGCTAGCTCTGGAATAGATTAAACGGCTGGGGGTCCCCGAGGAGAGGTTTGAGAGGCACTGAAACTAGGTCATAAGCTAGCTGGCTAACCTTGTCCAGTATTTCTCCGAGTTTCACAACTATGACATTGGCTTGTAAGCTAGCTAGCTAGTAGCGAAACAGGCTCTAGCGCTAACAACGCGTATAAGACATGATTCATTGGACAATAACTGTTTATGACCACACGCAGAATAACCCATAGTGAAAACTATACATTTTAGCTACCTAAAGCACAATTTAAAGCATTACTTACGGTTGTTTTTTCTCGCTGTCACCAGTTAACGTTATGAAGTCAATGGCAGCCATTTTCACTGAGGGGGTTCGATTAATCTCGCCCGTGTAGTCGTGTTTCGCAGCGGCTGAAAGTTGGTTGCGTTCGATTTTAAACTGGCTGCCTCCCGGGCGGGAGCCAGATGCCCCGTTCAAAGCCCACGGCGAAGTCGGCTCAAAACAAAAGTGTTGTAATTAAGCATGTGTTGTAATTAGTAGGATTCTGTGTTTTCCCATACAAAAGTGTTTGTTTTTGATAACAACGTTTTATCTGCCTTCCCAATTAAAAATAGTTAGGCTATTCAAACATGTATTTTATGGAAAATATATGTTTTATGTTTCTGGACGATGCACCATGCTGCCTTGTTGACAAAATGACCGTGCGGCACCGATTACTGTTCGATTTGAAGATGGAGCTCCTCGCAAGTGTCCCGCGACTCAGCGTAATCGAATCCGCCCATTGTTTATTTTGGACATGCGCAATGGATAGGAAAACAAGACTAACCAAAGCGCTGTCGTTAAAGTTATGACCATTTTTATTTTTGTCTCTATCCCCGATATGAGAGATTTGTCAATAATGAATATTCTTTGTACGTATATTTTGATGTTACAAACTATTATACAATTACTTATTAAATAAAATGTTTCAATAAGACAATAAGTAATGTATAGCACAGAAACGAAGCATTCCATTGACAGTGGTCCCTAAAAAGTAAGCATGGGGTTGGCTCATTTTCAAGTTCGTTTCGGGAGTCGGACACACGTGTTGCCAACTTCTCAGTAAGGAAAGTAGCTATTGGCTTCCCTAAAAGTCGCTAAATGACGTCATCACCTAATTTGCATAGTTGTGCATGTAATTGTGAGGAATAACGTGGTGGGAGAGACAAAAAGTGAGTAAAAAACACCCTAAATATGTTTAGAACTACAAATTAACTCTCTTCTTTTTGATTCTTGTTTTTTTTATGTCACAATTCCAACCATCCTCCTTTATCCGGGCTTGGGACCGGCAAAAGTTACCCAAAAGAGACACTCTGGCTGAGTTACTTAGTTTGTTTTAGTAAAAAAAATGTTTAGTTTAGTTTTCTTAAGTTTGGTTTGGTTTTTAACCTTATGTTCCACTTAGGAGCCTACAACAAGTCACAGTAAAACATGAAAATGTTTAACCATAACATTTGTAAAAAAAAATTGTATACAATCAACATTAACAATCTAAATAGACCAAAAAGAGACAATAGAAAAAACTGTCAATGGCAATGTGAGAAAATGATGGTAACTAGTCTGGCCCTAATTTTTTTTCAGACCCCCCTCCACACACACACACACAGGCTGTGCTGGCTCACAGAAAGAGTGGGTCATCGTCCTTTTGGTCAAGGCTCTCTATGGCAGGTTCAGCAACTGAGGGAGCTGACTTAAATGAGTAAGCAGCTCATGTGCCAAAAGGCTGCAAAACATTATCAGGCAGCTGGTGCTCATAGCAAGCCTCACCAGACAGCTTCAGTCCATATCGAATGTACAGGATGGAGTTAAGGGTCTGCAAGGACATCCGATTTCTAAGTTTGCTTTTTACCACACTCATCTGGCTGAATACTCTCTCGACTTCAGCGTTCTAGTGTGGCAAGGACAACACAGACACAGCAGCCATGGCAAGATCTTGAAACGGGTTGATATCAGCTGCATCCCTGAACTTCCAAATCTCACTCCAGAAGCCCAGTGTGTTTTTTGTCTCATTCCATTTACTAAGATGGATGGCACGCCATTGCTGGACAATCTTGTCTATCTCTACAGGGGAGTAGCCAAGGAGCTTGGCTATTTTTTCTATTTCTCCAGGGCTCTTATTGTGCTTTAGAGTTTCCTCCACATTGAAAACTGACATGTACTGCAATGCTTCGATGTTGTCCGGCAGTCTCACCCTCAACTCATTAGTGAGGGAGATGGTGAAGGCTACACACCGCTTTTGGACATTGTTTTCATCCTCAGGCGCAAGGTGGAGCTCAGCTGCCTTTGACTCAAAAAGGTAACCAAGGTACGGTTTGGGACTGATGTATCCATCTATTGGCCCTTTGAGTACATCAACATTTGCCAGTGGATTCAGCACCCTGCTGCTCACAGACTTGATCAGGCTAACCAAGCTGTCAAGTAGCTTAAGAGGATCTACTTGCTCTCCCTCAAAAGCCTTGATGGCCAACTGTACCTCACCCAGCACTGACTTCAAAAAGTCAGATACAATATGTTTTGAGGATCACTGTACATGGAGTATAAAACCTCAGCCATGAGCTTGACGCCTTGATAAGTTCCTTTCCTGAGGATGGCTCACCCCTCACAGTTCTGGGGGATTTCAACCTCCCTACGTCTACATTTGACTCATTTCTCTCTGCCTCCTTCTTTCCACTCCTCTCCTCTTTTGACCTCACCCTCTCACCGTCCCCCCCTACTCACAAGGCAGGCAATACGCTTGACCTCATCTTTACTAGATGCTGTTCTTCTACTAATCTCACTGCAACTCCCCTCCAAGTCTCCGACCACTACTTTGTATCCTTTTCTCTCTCGCTCTCCTCCAACACTACTCACTCTGCCCCTACACAGATGGTAATGCGCCGTCGCAACCTTCGCTCTCTCTCTCCCGCTACTCTCTCCTCTTCCATCCTATCATCTCTTCCCTCTGCTCAATCCTTCTCCCTCCAATCTCCTGATTCTGCCTCCTCAACCCTCCTCTCCTCCCTTTCTGCATCCTTTGACTCTCTATGTCCCCTATCCTCCCGGCCGGCTCGGTCCTCCCCACCAGCTCCGTGGCTTGATGACTCATTGCGAGCTCACAGAACAGAGCTCCGGGCAGCTGAGCGGAAATGGAAGAAAACTAGACTCCCTGCAGACCTGGCATCTTTTCACTCCCTCCTCTCTACATTTTCTTCATCTGTTTCTGCTGCTAAGGCCACTTTCTACCACTCTAAATTCCAAGCATCCGCCTCTAACCCTAGGAAGCTCTTTGCCACATTCTCCTCCCTGCTGAATCCCCCCCTCCTCCCTCTCTGTGGATGACTTCGTCAACCATTTTGAAAAGAAGGTTGACGACATCCGATCCTCGTTTGTTAAGTCAAATGACACTGCTGGTCCTGCTCACACAGCCCTACCCTATGCTTTGACTTCTTTCTCCCCTCTCTCTCCAGATAAAATCTTGCGACTTGTGACGGCAGGCCGCCCAACAACCTGCCCGCTTGACCCTATCCCCTCCTCTCTTCTCCAGACCATCTCCGGTGACCTTCTCCCTTACCTCACCTCGCTGATCAACTCATCCTTGACCGCTGGCTATGTCCCTTCCGTCTTCAAGAGAGCGAGAGTTGCACCCCTTCTCAAAAAACCAACACTCGATCCCTCTGATGTCAACAACTACAGACCAGTATCCCTTCTTTCTTTTCTCTCCAAAACTATTGAGCGTGCCGTCTTTAGCCAACTCTCTTGCTATCTCTCTCAGAATGACCTTCTTGATCCAAACCAGTCAGGTTTCAAGACTGGTCATTCAACTGAGACTGCTCTACTCTGTGTCACAGAGGCTCTCCGCAATGCTAAAGCTAACTCTCTCTCCTCTGCTCTTGTCCTTCTAGACCTGTCTTGGATTGCGTCCTACCTGACCGGTCGCTCCTACCAAGTGGCGTGGCGAGAAGCTGTCTCCGCACCACGTGCTCTCACCACTGGTGTCCCCCAGGGCTCAGTTCTAGGCCCTCTCCTATTCTCGCTATACACCAAGTCACTTGGCTCTGTCATATCCTCACATGGACTCTCCTATCATTGCTACGCTGACGACACACAACTAATCTTCTCCTTTCCCCCTTCTGATAACCAGGTGGCGAATCGCATCTCTGCATGTCTGGCAGACATATCAGTATGGATGACGGATCACCACCTCAAGCTGAACCTCGGCAAGACGGAGCTGCTCTTCCTCCCGGGGAAGGACTGCCCGTTCCATGATCTCGCCATCACGGTTGACAACTCCGTTGTGTCCTCCTCCCAGAGTGCGAAGAGCCTTGGCGTGACCCTGGACAACACCCTGTCGTTCTCCGCTAACATCAAGGCGGTGACCCGATCCTGTAGGTTCATGCTCTACAACATTCGGAGAGTACGACCCTGCCTTACACAGGAAGCGGCACAGGTCCTAATCCAGGCACTTGTCATCTCCCGTCTGGATTACTGCAACTCGCTGTTGGCTGGGCTCCCTGCCTGTGCCATTAAACCCCTACAACTCATCCAGAATGCCGCAGCCCGTCTGGTGTTCAACCTTCCTAAGTTCTCTCACGTCACCCCGCTCCTCCGCACACTCCACTGGCTTCCAGTTGAAGCTCGCATCTGCTACAAGACCATGGTGCTTGCCTACGGAGCTGTGAGGGGAACGGCACCTCCGTACCTTCAGGCTCTGATCAGTCCCTACACCCAAACGAGGGCACTGCGTTCATCCACCTCTGGCCTGCTGGCTCCCCTACCTCTGCGGAAGCTCTGGCACCCCAATGGTGGAACAAGCTCCCTCACGACGCCAGGACAGCGGAGTCACTCACCACCTTCCGGAGACATTTGAAACCCCACCTCTTTAAGGAATACCTGGGATAGGATAAAGTAATCATTCTACCCCCCCCCCCCCCCCCCCTTTACTCTACCCCCCCCCCCCCCCAAAAATAAATAAAAAAATAACATTGTAAAGTGGTTATCCCACTGGCTATAAGGTGAATGCACCTATTTGTAAGTCGCTCTGGATAAGAGCGTCTGCTAAATGACGTAAATGTAAATGTAAATGTAGCAGTGTTCACTGGACTTGGTGACTGCGAAATGCAGCCTACGCTCCTCCCACTGGTCCAAAATGCGTGAAACCACGGGTCAATGGAGAGCCAACGTGTGGCACACGCCTTGGTTATCTGTAAAGGTTTCTCCCCACAGTTGATGGTCTCATATATGGCCTTGTAGGCCTCCCTGCGCTTTGGAGACACTGAAAACCAGTTATAAGTCTCTCGTACCAAGTACTCCACACTACGGGGGATGGTGTCATTGGAAGAATGACTTACAGCAAGCTGCAGAGAGTGGCACACACAGCGAATAAGAACCAGATCTTTGAGGCCGTACTCCTCCTTCAGCACTTTATGGACCCCATTGTTAATCCCCGTCATAACAGAGGCATTGTCAGTCCCCAGGAGTTTCTCTTTTTAAAGACAACACTTCTCGAGGAAAGCCACAACAGCACGGGCTATAGATTTGGCATCTCCTACCTCCAACTCAACAAGCCCCAGAAATGTTGATACAATTGTCTGCTTGGTGTCACTAAAGTACCTTATCACAACCCCCAGGTACTTAGAAACACTTACATCCGTGGACTCATCGAGTATGAAAAAAAATTAAAATGTATACACTCACTAACTGTAAGTCGCTCTGGATAAGAACGTCTGCTAAATTACTCAAATGTAAAATGTAATCGAGGAGGAGGCTGAAACGCTGGTCACCCACATCTGCGACCAACTTTTTCAGAAAGTATGGTGCTAGAACACCATTAATCATTTATGTGCACTTTGTCCTGAGCATTTTGAAGTGGGTAGCTGCAGTGGAGTCTGATAAAGCAGCTCTACGTGCTTCTCCAATGTGATCACATGCCAACATGGAACAGTGTTCAGCGATAGCTAATGCCATGGTGGCTTCAGCCTTTTTTTCAGAGTCAATTTAACTCTAAATGGCAGCTTGTTTTGGGTGGAACTGTTATAAGGCTTTGCCTTTTGAGTATGTTTTTGAGTTGTCATGTGTTTTTTTTACATCACTAAGTTTGGAGTAGAAATCAGCTTTACAATACGGGCAGTATGCCCGTGTATCATCTCCAATAAACGGCTTCAACCAGCCTTTGAATTCAGGGTTTGATTCCCTCTCCTTTCTGTATTTTTGAGTGTACAGTTTAGACTGAGACAGGATGAGCTAGCCAGCTAGATGTTTAGCTTATGTCACAGAGAGGCACACACACAGTGGACGAGGTGAGTAAGTGACTGAGGCTGTGGGAGTCAAATGCAGTGATTTTTATTTTTGTGCAGTGATTTATTTTAGACAAAGAACATTTTACATTTACATCCTGCCCTGAATGTAAGCCAGGGCGGGATCAGCCAGGGGCGGATTCATTTGCAGTCTGGACGCGGAGGGATGAACATCTCCTGCTCTGACTGCAGCTGGGAGGGACTGCTGTGCGAGGACTGGGCCGCCTGTGAGTGCTTTGGGACGGGGGTGGGGCCCGGGGCCCACGCCACGGCAGCACCCGCTGCTCGTTGAGAAGAGTAAGAACGATACGTGCTTTCATGTCAGAGTCTCGAAAAGTCTCCAATAACGGCAGAAAAAGTCGCTAGATTTGTTGCTAGTCGATTTTTTTTGAAAATGTGTCGCTAGAGGGGTCTGAATACTCGCTAAATATAGCGACAAAGTTGCTAAGTTGGCAACACTGGGACTCGGACGTTCTTCTTCTTCAATGAGGTTTAACGGCGGTTGGCATCCAATTTGTTGCATTACCACCACCTACTAGACTGGAGTTCAACTCCCTTATCTTTTCTTGAAAAATAAAATAAAACAAAGCAAAGAAATCTAACACTACACTCACACCTTCAACACTACAACTAATAATTAACCCCATCCTTATCCACTGTTTAAATACACTCACTTCTACCTCATGCCCTCAACCTGAAATGATGGGACATCACCACTTAACACTCCCAGTAACTCTTCTGATGTCAAGTCTCGCACACCCAAATACCTCTCTGCAGCTGCCACCACAACCTCAATTTTCTTCGACTTACGTTCCATCCCTGCAGTACAATTAATAACCATTGCTATAAATGCTAAAAATCCAATCTTACTGAAACATATATCACTTGTTGGCCTATCCCTCTGTACTGGTACATACAGTTGAAGTCGGAAGTTTACATACACTTAGGTTGAGGTCATTAAAACTTGTTTTTCAACCACTCCACAAATTTCTTGTTAACAAACTATAGTTTTGGCAAGTCGGTTAGGACATCTACTTTGTGCATGACACACAAGTAATTTTTCCAAAAATAGTTTACAGACAGATTATTTCACTTATAATTCACTGTATCACAATTCCAGTGGGTCAGAAGTTTACATACACTAAGTTGACTGTGCCTTTAAACAGCTTGGAAAATTCCAGAAAATGATGTCATGGCTTTAGAAGCTTCTGATAGGCTAATTGACATAATTTGAGTCAATTGGAGGTGTAGCTGTGGATGTATTTCAAGGCCTACCTTCAAACTCAGTGTCTCTTTGCTTGACATAATGGGAAAATCAAAAGAAATCAGCCAAGACCTCAGAAAAAAAATGGTAGACCTCCACAAGTCTGGTTCATCCCTGGGAGCAATTTCGAAACGCCTGAAGGTACCACGTTCATCTGTACAAACAATAGTACGCAAATATAAACACCATGGGACCATGCAGCCGTCATACCGCTCAGGAAGGAGACACGTTCTGTCTCCTAGAGATGAACGTACTTTGGTGCGAAAAGTGCAAATCAATCCCAGAACAACAGCAAAGGACCTTGTGAAGATGCTGGAGGAAACAGGTACAAAAATATCTATATCCACAGTAAAACGTGTCCTATATCGACATAACCTGAAAGGCCGCTCAGCAAGGAAGAAGCCACTGTTCCAAAACCGCCATAAAAAAGACAGACTACGGATTGCAACTGCACATGGGGATAAAGATCGTACTTTTTGGAGAAATGTCCTCTGGTCTGATGAAACAAAAATATATCTTTTTGGCCATAATGGCCATCATTATGTTTGGAGGAAAAAGGGGGATGCTTGCAAGCCGAAGAACACCATCCCAACCGTGAAGCACGGGGGTGGCAGCATCATGCTGTGGGGGTGCTTTGCTGCAGGAGGGACTGGTGCACTTCACAAAATAGATGGCATCATGAGGAAGGAAAATTATGCAGATATATTGAGGCAACATCTCAAGACATCAGTCAGGAAGTTAAAGCTTGGTCGCAAATTGGTCTTCCAAATGGACAATGACCCCAAGCATCCTTCCAAAGTTGTGGCAAAATGGCTTAAGGACAAAAAAGTCAAGGTATTGGAGTGGCCATCAATAAGCCCTGACCTCAATCCTATAGAACATTTGTGGGCAGAACTGAAAAAGCGTGTGCGAGCAAGGAGGCCTACAAACCTGACTCAGTTACACCAGCTCTGTCAGGAGGAATGGGCCAAAATTCACCCAACTTATTGTGGGAAGCTTGTGGAAGGCTACCCAACGGTTTGACCCAAGTTAAACAATTTAAAGGCAATGCTACCAACTACTAATTGAGTGTATGTAAACTTCTGACCCACTGGGAATGTGATGAAATAAATAAAAGCTGAAATAAATCATTCTCTCTACAATTATTCTGACATTTCACATTCTTAAAATAAAGTGGTGATCCTAACTGACCTAAGACAGGGAATTTTTATAACATAACATGCCACTTAGCAGACGCTTTTATCCAAAGCGACTTACAGTCATGCGTGCATACATTTTTGTGTACGGGTGGTCCCGGGGATCGAACCCACTACCTAGCTGAGCTACAGAGGACCACTACTCGGATTAAATGTCAGGAATTGTGAAACTGAGTTTAAATGTATTTGGCTAAGGTGTATGTAAACTTCCGACTTCAACTGTATCTACTACTCTCACCACTCCCCCCCCCAAACACTCGCAAATGTTGATGTACTCAAAGGGCCAATAGATGGATACATCAGTCCCAAACCGTACCTTGGTTACCTTTTTGAGTCAAAGGCAGCTGAGCTCCACCTTGCGCCTGAGGATGAAAACAATGTCCAAAAGCGGTGTGAGTATGTCAGCCATGTAGTCATGGCTGACATAACGGTGACATCATTGTCGGATAGTCTAACTCTATGTTAACGTTAGTGGCTAGCTAGCTGCCTGAAAGTAGATGAGATGATGGTCATTCACCGCGATTCCATTTTTTTGATGTTCGTGGTGAGTAGGTAAATAATTGGTAGAAAAGTTGCATATTCCAGCACATTCAGTGTTTACAGCCGTTAGCCGTGGTATATTGGCCATATATCACAAACCCCCTGAGGTGCCTTATTACTATTATAAACTGGTTACCAACATAATTAGAGCATACCCCTGGTATATGGTCTGATATACCACGGCTTTCAGCCAATCAGCATTCAGGGCTCGAACCACCCAGTTTACAATGTGAGTTACAGCACATAAAACATTTTACTGCCACCGACAAATAATGAGTTCAGGGATGTTGGTGGGAATTCAGGTATTCAATTTATTGTCAAATGTCACTATTTTTTCTTAGAGTGCCCTCATACACATTTTCTTATTGTTTGAGATATTTTTAAGAAAATATTTGTGTTAAAATAAAGACAATTATATGTTCCTCATTTGCATAAATACACTGCGTGCAAACATTAATATATGAACATCAATTTGAACAGGGCCGCAACCACCAAAACATTTGCTCTGTCTACCCTACCTGCACTCACCTGGACTGTCTAGACTGCCTATAGAGAATGATAGAGAAAGCATCCCTATATACAGTGGGGAAAAAAAGTATTTAGTCAGTTCTCCCACTTAAAAAGATGAGAGAGGCCTGTAATTTTCATCATAGGTACACGTCAACTATTACAGACAAAATGAGAAAAGAAAATCCAGAAAATCACATTGTAGGATTTTTTATGAATTTATTTGCAAATTATGGTGGAAAATAAGTATTTGGTCAATAACAAAAGTTTCTCAATACTTTGTTATATACCCTTTGTTGGCAATGACACAGGTCAAACGTCTTCACAAGGTTTTCACACACTGTTGCTGGTATTTTGGCCCATTCCTCCATGCAGATCTCTAGAGCAGTGATGTTTTGGGGCTGTCGCTGGGCAACACGGACTTTCAACTCCCTCCAAAGATTTTCTATGGGGTTGAGATCTGGAGACTGGCTAGGCCACTCCAGGACCTTGAAATGCTTCTTACGAAGCCACTCCTTCGTTGCCCGGGCGGTGTGTTTGGGATCATTGTCATGCTGAAAGACCCAGCCACGTTTCATCTTCAATGCCCTTGCTGATGGAAGGAGGTTTTCACTCAAAATCTCACGATACATGGCCCCATTCATTCTTTCCTTTACACGGATCAGTCGTCCTAGTCCCTTTGCAGAAAAACAGCCCCAAAGCATGATGTTTCCACCCCCATGCTTCACAGTAGATATGGTGTTCTTTGGATGCAACTCAGCATTCTTTGTCCTCCAAACACGACGAGTTGAGTTTTTACCAAAAAGTTCTATTTTGGTTTCATCTGACCATATGACATTCTCCCAATCCTCTTCTGGATCATCCAAATGCACTCTAGCAAACTTCAGACGGGCCTGGACATGTACTGGCTTAAGCAGGGGGGACACGTCTGGCACTGCAGGATTTGAGTCCCTGGCGGCGTAGTGTGTTACTGATGGTAGGCTTTGTTACTTTGGTCCCAGCTCTCTGCAGGTCATTCACTAGGTCCCCCCGTGTGGTTCTGGGATTTTTGCTCACCGTTCTTGTGATCATTTTGACCCCACGGGGTGAGATCTTGCGTGGAGCCCCAGATCGAGGGAGATTATCAGTGGTCTTGTATGTCTTCCATTTCCTAATAATTGCTCCCACAGTTGATTTCTTCAAACCAAGCTGCTTACCTATTGCAGATTCAGTCTTCCCAGCCTGGTGCAGGTCTACAATTTTGTTTCTGGTGTCCTTTGACAGCTCTTTGGTCTTGGCCATAGTGGAGTTTGGAGTGTGACTGTTTGAGGTTGTGGACAGGTGTCTTTTATACTGATAACAAGTTCAAACAGGTGCCATTAATACAGGTAACGAGTGGAGGACAGAGGAGCCTCTTAAAGAAGAAGTTACAGGTCTGTGAGAGCCAGAAATCTTGCTTGTTTGTAGGTGACCAAATACTTATTTTCCATCATAATTTGCAAATAAATTCATAGAAAAAAATCTCAATTTGTCTGTCATAGTTGACGTGAACCTATGATGAAAATTACAGGCCGCTCTCATCTTTTTAAGTGGGAGAACTTGCACAATTGTTGGCTGACTAAATACTTTTTTTCCCCACTGTAGTTTCCATTATGGCGTCTGTGAGCACACGGGCAGCGCCATTGAGGCCATCTCCATTTTTAAGTAGTCCATTTTCTTCTTCACGATTGGCTGATCCCTCCTGATGACCCGGTTGGACATGAATCCAACAAGGTCACAAGGAGGGATCAGCCAATAAAGTTGGAAGTCCGACCCTGTTGACGACATTAAAATGGTGCAAGCCCTCAATGGTGCTGCCCGTGCTAATAGGACCTGGTCGAAGTGTACCGCTGCAGAGCGTGCCAGTTCACCGGTGGCCTAAAAGCAAGCATCCACGCACACGTACTGGAGAGGCACGACTTGAGAAGGACCGTGGCCTAGAGGTGGAAGTAAGGGTGGGAGTTGAACTGGTCCAAAATGGCTCCCCAGGCTACAACCTGGAGGATGTCCTCCATTCTGGCTCAAAGGATGCTGATGACGATCAGATGGATCATATGGGCTTGGAGCACATGTCCATCCTGCTCCCCATACTGCCCAATATCAATCCCCGGTCATGTGACATGGCCCTGAGCTCCAACTCGGACGGGAGCCTACACGTTGCACAGACCTATGAGGTAAGAAATACGTTTTCTAGAGGGGGAAACTTGTGTTTCAGATGCAGTGAAAATAACAGTCAAGAGTGGATTAGTCACTAGGGGATAGAAAGGTGGACTAGTAAGGAGAGCGTGTTCCTATTGGACACTGCCGGCTCCGTCAACCTGTCCTGTCCAATGGGCTCGTTGGTGATGAACGAGACTGAGGCCAAGGATGAGGAAATGGCCCAATCAGCTCACCTCATGACCCTAGGCCTCTGTCGCATCTCCACAGCCAAACAAGGGCCTCTCAGGCTGAGCGGGTACCCAGCTTTCCTCAACTCCCGTCGGGCAAGAGGGCTTTTAGTTGGACACCTCCCTGGATGACAAAGTGCTCCAGCCCCAGGGGCAGCAGTCACCACCTCCCCCACTTGAAATGCCACGGCGGGGATCGGGGCTTCAAGTGCCTTCAGTGTGGCTGGACGTTGGCCAGGTGGGGGGAGATGGAGCGCCACTGGAGGGCCCATGGGAATAGGAGGCGGCGGGGGGAAAGAGGGAGAGGGGCTCCAGGCCCCACGGCTGCCAGGTTTGTCCCCGGAAGTTCCGGAGTGTCGAATCCAAGTGCGATAGGTGCAGTGAAATGTGTTATTTTACAGGGTCAGCCATAGTAGTACGGCGCCCCTGGAGCAAATTAGATTACATGAGTGTATACTCGTTTAACCCAATTGTCCCATGTCTGTCTTCCAGATAAGTTGCACAAACATATTCTTTCAGAACACAAAGCCTTTGGGGACAGATTGACAGATGCGGGTGGACTGAACACCCATGTTGTCTTGGTGGCTTACCTGTTCCCTCCCTGCACCATAGGCCCTCCCTGCACCATAGGCCCTCCCTGCACCATAGGCCCTCCCTGCACCATAGGCCCTCCCTGCACCATAGGCCCTCCCTGCACCATAGGCCCTCCCTGCACCATAGGCCCTCCCTGCACCATAGGCCCTCCCTGCACCATAGCACCATAGCCCCAGAGCACCATAGGCCCTCCCTGCACCATAGCACCATAGCACCATAGCCCCATAGCCCCAGAGCACCATAGCCCCCGAGCACCATAGCCCCAGAGCACCATAGCCCCAGAGCACCATAGCCCCAGAGCACCATAGCCCCATAGCCCCAGAGCCCCAGAGCACCATAGCCCCATAGCCCCAGAGCCCCAGAGCACCATAGCCCCAGAGCGCCATAGCCCCATAGCCCCAGAGCACCATAGCCCATAGCCCCATAGCCCCAGAGCACCATAGCCCCATAGCCCCAGAGCACCATAGCCCCAGAGCACCATAGCCCCAGAGCCCCATAGCCCCAGAGCACCATAGCCCCAGAGCACCATAGCCCATAGCCCCAGAGCACCATAGCACCATAGCCCCATAGCCCCAGAGCACCAGAGCCCCAGAGCACCAAACCAACCTTCTCATCGTGTGCACACAAAATATTTTCAAGCATTTGGTCTGGACATGGGCCCTATTTGAATTCTGTAAAAATGCATCCTTCCTTCCTCCCTTCCGTAAAGTAATCACTCAGTAGACGACACAAGGGCTCCACCACATGGCTTTCAGGAAGGATGCACTTCTAATGAATTTGAACAGGGCTCCTGTTAGCTACTGTATCAAATCTATTCTGATGAATTTTCACAAGTTGGTCTTTGAACACAGTTGAGTCAGTCGAGTATCTCAACCATAGGTTTTTGACCATTAAAGGAGCAATCTGTGATTGGTACTTCCATTTTGGACTTTTAAAGTAATAATATACCCATTGATTCTTGAAGAATATAACTTATAAAAATGCGTAATGAGCTTAGCAACTGTCATACCCAATCAGCACCCAACATTTTTTGTAAACAATGTAATTGTAAACAAACACTTTATAGCCATTTTTGTTGTTGTTGTTGATATATTTAATATAATGGGTGGTCAGTCCTTGCATTAATGGTTCTGCTCATGAATTTGAGATTGGTTATATTTCTCTCATCCATCCCTCTGCTGTTTACCAAAACAATGGCGGGGTATCCAATTTGTTGTTGTTTGAACTGCAGATTGCCCATTTAACGTTCCCCCTCTCCAACTCACATGCGTGCTTCGAGGAAGTTCACCCACGAAAGCAATTACCTACAAGACCTACAAGGAGTGGAGCCAACCGAGGAAGAAGAGGAGGCTGACGCAGACGAGAAGAAGGAGGGGCAGAAAGTGGCGGAAAGAGTTCTGCTGTGCCCTTTGCAACAGGTAGTCACTTAGAGGTGTCAGTAACACATTTTACCACAAGGGGTCAGAGTTCAGTTTATTTGTGGAAGATCATTACATTTACATTTGAGTCATTTGGCAGAAGAGCGACTTCTCACAGTAGTGAGTGCGTAAATGTTTTCATTCGTACCGGTCCCCCGTGGGAATCGAGCCCACAACCCTGGCATGGCAAGTGCCACGCTCTACCAACTGATCCACACAGGACCTTTATGACCTTTATGACCTCAAGCCTATTTCAGATGCTTTGTCTGTTGACTTGTCTGTGTGTTTTCAGACCATCTACACTTTCAAAATACATTTATCACAGAAAATGGGCTGTAAAACTCAACCGGAATTACGCGTAATATAGGACCACATGGTGATATAATGGAAGCATATATCAAGTAAATGCGTGTGTTTGAGAGAGAAGTACATAGAGAAAAGCCCACGGTATACAAACTACAACCCCCTAAGGCCTAATGTGTACACAACTGGTGAAGCATTGATGCAGTGCCTATAAAGCTTTCATCATTTGTAGTTCATTTTAAAGTATGACGATGTTATGAATAAATCTCAACTAGCCTTGTGTCCTGCCATGACAGGAAGTTCTCCACCACATGGACATGCACCAGGCCCGTTGAGTGTCCCCAGAGCACCAAACCACCATAGCCCATAGCCCCACAGCCCCAGAGAGCCATAGCCCCATAGCCCCATAGCCCCAGAGAACCATAGCCCCATAGCCCCAGAGCACCATAGCCCCATAGCCCATAGCCCATAGCCCCAGAGCACCATAGCCCCATAGCCCCATAGCACCAGAGCACCATAGCCCCATAGCCCATAGCCCCATAGCCCCAGAGCACCATAGCCCCAGAGCACCAGAGCACCATAGCCCCATAGCCCATAGCCCCAGAGCCCCAGAGCATCTTAGCCCCATAGCCCCATAGCCCCAGAGCACCATAGCCCATAGCCCCAGAGCACCATAGCCCCAGAGCACCATAGCCCATTGCCCATAGCCCCAGAGCACCATAGCCCCATAGCCCCAGAGCACCATAGCACCATAGCCCCATAGCCCCATAGCACCATAGCCCCATAGCCCATAGCCCCATAGCCCCATAGCACCAAACCACCATAGCCCCATAGCCCCATAGCCCCAGAGCACCATAGCTCCATAGCCCCATAGCCCCAGAGCACCATAGCACCATAGCCCCAGAGCACCATAGCCCCATAGCCCCAGAGCACCATAGCCCCATAGCCCCAGAGCACCATAGCCCCAGAGCACATAGCCCCATAGCCCCAGAGCACCATAGCACCATAGCCCCATAGCCCCAGAGCACCATAGCCCCAGAGCACCATAGCCCCATAGCCCCAGAGCACCATAGCCCCAGAGCACCATAGCCCCATAGCCCCATAGCACCATAGCCCCAGAGCACCATAGCCCCATAGCCCCATAGCCCCAGAGCACCATAGCCCATAGCCCCAGAGCACCATAGCCCCAGAGCCCCATAGCCCCATAGCACCATAGCCCATAGCCCCATAGCACCATAGCCCCATAGCCCCATAGCACCATAAGCCCCAGAGCACCATAGCCCCAGAGCCCCCATAGCCCCAGAGCACCATAGCCCCATAGCCCCAGAGCACCATAGCCCCATAGCCCCATAGCCCATAGCCCCATAGCACCATAGCCCCATAGCCCCATAGCACCATAGCCCCAGACCACCATAGCCCCATAGCACCATAGCCCATAGCCCTAGAGCCCCAGAGCACCATAGCCCCATAGCCCCAGTGCACCCGGCTCAAGCCCTCACTGATACAGCACCTCCATGTTCATACACCTCATGTTTTTAGACCATATCCAGTCATCTTAGCTGTTGGTGTAGTCAGCACAACGACACCTACACGTACACACACGATACCTACACGTACACACACGATACCTACACATACACACACATTTAAATGTGTCCATTTTAGTAATTTAGCAGACGCTCTTATCCAGAGTGACACACACACACACACACACACTCACTGGTACTTAGTGTTATTCATTACAAGTGTAGTAAAGGCACATTACTGTGTGTGTGACTTTTAGATATCAGACGTGTGTCTGTTTTGGAAATTATAGTAGAGATACAAGAAACATTTGGTTTTTTTACAGAAAAGCTGGACGTGCAAAATCCCGTGTCGGGAACACTGTTGGAGGGAGTCACTGGACCCTCAATCATTTCCCCATTGTTCGCTGGTTGTTACCAAGGGGGGAAATGTCACTGTGGCCCAAATTTATTACAGAACCTTTCCCACACATTCTGTCCCAGCAAGTGCTTTGAGAGCTGTGTGGCCATGGTAACACCAGTGAGATTACATAAAATGCCATGGGGTTGAAGAGTGGAATGTTCAACCCATATAGGCCAATGTTCCATTCCACTGACATGATATGTACATCAAAAAACACAATATTTAGTAGAATGCAGTGTTTCTCCTAGATATTTTCCTAAAGTGGGGGCCAGGCCCTCTTGAGAAACATGCGGGAAAGCAGACACCAATATTTACAATATATTGTAGATATTTATTTTAAGGAATTGGGATGCACTGGGAAACAGAGCAAGTAAAATGAGATAAGCAGTTTGTTTCTGAACAAACATGTTTGTTGTCGATTGTTGGAAAGCTACTGAACCACACAATAGGTGGCATTTTTAATATACTGCTTATTATGTGACCAAGAGGGTTGAAGCAGCATATGTTGCCAGCCAAGTCTGGCATTGAAACCCCATTATTAAGTAGCTACCTACTCTGGCCGAAAAATAAAAAATAAAAACAGTTATCGACAGTAGCTTTGGGTTTAAAAAAGGTTTTTTCTCTACTAAGCAGAGCTCCCAACCCGTCCTTGAGGGCCACAATCACATTGTTGTACTTGCTTTAAAGCCCCCGGGGAAAA